CCAATTTAGACAGACGAATGGGATTTTTAAATATTTTATTATTTTCATTTTATGTGTATGAGTATATTGTCTGCACGTATGTGGGTGCACCCATATCGTGCAATGCCGCGGAGGTCAGAAGAGGGCTTGGGATTCCCCTGGAACTGGAGTTAAGGACAGATGGTAGCTGCCATGTGGGTGCTGGGAAACAAACCCGGGTCCTCTGCAAGAGCAGTCAGTGCTCTTAACGCTGAGCCATCATCTCTCCAGCTCCCTAGGCAGAGAAATGGTATTTTTAATGTCTTAAGTTTTTAATGATAAGGATTCTGAAATATATTTGCCAGCCAGATTATTTCACATACTACATAGAGTTTAATTTTTAAATTGGTGTACTTGGTTTAGAGGAATTTTTTTTTCATCAAATATAGTAATGTCAGCATCTCTAAGAAGCTTTTCATGGATTCATTTGTGATATATAGATTACTTTATCTTCAGAAATGATTTGTTTTTGCTAGATTTAAGTATATCAGGATTTTGTTGTTGTGGGTTTTTGTTTTATTTAGTGTTTTCGGTACTGAGGATTGAATTTAGGACTTCATGCTTGCTAGGCAATAGCTCTGCCGCTGAGCCATACCCCCAGCCTCTCTTAACAAATCTAATTTATTAAGTTCACCTTCTGTACTGTTATGATCTTACTGAAAATTCATTTCAAAAAATGATTTCATTTGAACTTTAAGATTTGGCAATTGGAACTACTGATTGATAATTCATAGTGCCTTTTTCCGTTAGTGTAATGGTTTACAGGTATTTTGAGCCATTAGAGACATCTTTGTTGTGTTTGCTTTCCTTTAGTGATGACTGAGGTACTAGTAATTTTTTAAACATAAGGTATTGAATCTTCTCTTTTTTAATTGCCAAATTTAAAGGTAGCTTTTCTAAGTACAGTAAATGGTTAAACATCCTTTTTTCCTCCTGGGTTTCTTTTTAGGAACTACGGGAAAAACTTATAGTCATTTGGGATCTGGCTTTATTATTCAGCAACTAAAAAATGAGTTCTAATTGTCAGACTTCTGGCACTTGTCTTCCTGTTTCTGTAGAAAATGGGTTGGAAGTCAGAGCTGCACAAAGTGAAATGGTAAGTTTCTTTTAATTCTATATTTATGAACTCATATCTTACTATGACCTGGTATCAGTTTCCACTTGAGTATATACTGTGAAGATCTCCAAACAGGGACTACTAATTTTCACTTGAGTGGAACCTGACATTGTCATTATAATGAGGGTTTAAATATTGATTTATTTTTCTTGTGACCCTGACTTCATATTTCTTAAAGAAATGAACTCAGTGATCACTTTCTATTTATTTTTAATTTGAGGAGGTCATAATACTGATTTTTATACTTTTATTTTGTTATATACTTTTCTGGTTAGCTGAGCAGGTAGAGTTCTCATTTGTTCTCATCGAGGCAGAGACTCATTGTTGGTAGCATTTAAGACAGCTGCCAGTTAGTAATCCTGTTGAGCTTTGCTAAACAGATGTAGCATTTTGACATGAAATTGCTTTACTGCTAATACAAACTATGATTTACAAGATGGTGCATATAAGTAACATATTAAACTCTGACTAGGTTTGAGATGCTGGAAGACAGTCTTAGCTCTTTTAACAAGTGATCCTGACATACTGCTGTTAAAGGGAAGAAATTAATCTTTTCCTTGCCAAAAGACATTAGAGTTAGTTAACACAGACTGAACCTTGGCTTTATTTCCATCCAGATTGTTACTTAAAAAATAGTGTACCAAGTAAAAGTTGGTGAAGTATAGTGGCTCAAGCCTATAATCCCAGCACTAGGAGGATGAGCCTGGAGGGTTGTGAGATTGAGGCCGGCCTGTGCTGCAGAGTGAGATCCTGTCTGAGGAAAAAAAAGTTGGATGGTTGTCAATGGGAAAAGAAAAGCTAATTTTTAAAGATTTTATAAGTCCTTATATGCCTGAAAGTGGATTCTCATTACAAATTTTATATGCCTCATTAAATTTATTTATTTTATTTATTTATTTTACATGTATAAGTGCTTTGCCTGCATATGAGTGCTTTCAGTGCCTATAGAGGCAAACTGAAGTTACCATTTGTAGTCATCATGTGGGTGCTGGGTACTGAACCTAAGTCCTTTGCAGGAAAGAGCAAACAGTGCTCTTAACTGCTGAGCCATCTCTTTAGCCTCTTAATTTTTTTGTTTTTTGTTTTTGTTTTTCTTTTATGCTACCTGGAGCTTGTATAAGGTAGAAACAGAACTGAATTTGTGATTTTTAGGGGAAGATAAAAGGGGGGAAAATGACTAGAAAAAAGTTGAGTGTACTGCTTTCTATCAAGTATCCAGACATACTATTTCTTAAGACTAGCCAACTTGTCTTGGTTTTAAAATAAAAATCTAAGATCTCAAGAACTCCTTAATTTCTGATTAAACCGACACATTTAATCACTCTGATCGTAGTTCATTCTGCATCCCTAAAAAGTCCTCACTAAGACTTTGGATTTTATAGTGCATTTTTTTGTATTTTGTTTTGATTTTGAAACAAAAATCTTGCTATGAAGCCAGGCTGGTCTCAAACTCCTAGCAGTCCTGTATATACCACAATATCCCAACACTAAGTTGTTAGTGGTGATGGCTTTGGATTGAAAGAGATTTCACACTATAATAGTTTCTATTGGAGCATGCCAGTATTATAGGGTTTCATTGTGTAGCGCCTAGGCTGACCTGGAACTAAGGAAGATCCTCCTGCATCACAGTTCTGGAATTATAGGCACCACCATAAAGAAATGACGTCCTGTTTTACTTGTGATTGTAGGTAATGCCAATTACACAGAAATAAAACACGAAGAATTTTTAACCGAGTTAGAAGCTGATTCTAAGTATGTTATTTTTTTATTTTCGTGCGTATGTTAAGACCACAAGTAATAAATGTAAGTGACCTTGAGTGGGTGTTTGTAGCAAAATGGATTTGAGCTATAGATGAAAAGGGCAAGATGGACTAGAAAATTATTAAGGCTGTTTATTTATTCATTCATTTTGTCTTCTGGTAGCTACGTTGTCATTATACTGTAGCAGATCATAGATAATGGCTTTAATTTGGGGGAACAGGTTAGTTGTTAGGTATTTAATATTCTTTTTATTTCAATCTAGAAATTAAAGTTTAGGCCAGCTTGAGCCAAAACAAATGTTTTTAGTGAAGTTAGCCTTCATAATCTGTTAATACTTGCCAAGAAACAAAGCTTTTATAAAGGGGAACAGTTGTCTTAGATTGTTTGAATTGGGACTCCACCATTTAATGAATGTTGTATTTCTTTTATTTCAATTTACTCATTTGGAAAATGGACACCACAATCAAGGTGTGTGAAGAATAAATAAGATTAAATCTTAGAGTGGTGGCACACGCCTGCAGTCCCAGAACTAAGGATGTAGAGGTGGGGGGATCAGAAGTTCACGGTGATCCTTAGTGAGTTTGAAGCTAGACCCTATCCCAAAAGACCAAATCAGTAAATAGATTAAATTAATTACTGTATATAAAATGTTCACACCTAGCAAGCCTCTAATTCCAGCTACTCAGGAGGCTGAGGTGAAATTGAGGGCTGCCTCGGCAACATAGTGAGTTCAAGGCCAGAGTGGGTAACTTAATGAGAATCTGTCTGAAAATAAGTACCAACCTTAGTGACAGTTATTTTATTAGGTGTTGAGATACTGATTTTTCTATCCTAGGCCCACATATAGTATCTAATACTTGTTTCCTCCTTATAGGGATCTCTTATGGGGGAAGGGAAAAAAATCATTGAATATTATGCTTCTCTTAAAACTGCATACATATTTGAGATGATATTCCCATGTTATAGATTACTGGAAATGAGCCATATGACATCTTACTGTCCATTAAGATGATAATATGATAAATGAATAGAAATACCAAAGTTTATTGTTGGTATAATCAACATATTAGTTATAGAAGTCTTAAGTTTTCTAAGTCTAGGGATTCAGACTTGTTTATTTTGGTTATTTTGATTTTTTTTTTTTTTACTTTGAAACAATCTCACAGCACAGACTGGCCTTAAACTTCAGATCCTCCTTCTTGCCTTCACTTCATTCATTCCTTCAATGAGACAGATTGTAAATGGTAAGTAAGAGGGTGCCTGGTAGAGAAAGGCAAGCTGCTGAACTCCACTGCCTTGCACAAGTTTCAGCCTTTCCTAATTTGTACTATCTAGGTTCTCAGGGCCTTGTTCCTAATGAGTAGGATGAAGAACCTTCTCTGTTTCCTAAGATTAATTAAGCCTGTCTGAATTGCGATTCAATTTGGAGTTCTTTAGTTGGTCCTGTTTCAAGTATGGTTTGCTGAGACAGGAAAAACTCTAGTTGCTCTAGGTAGTTGAGGTCCTTTGAAAATAATTGCTGCTCAAAGTGGAAGGGAAAATTAAGAGTGGTTCCTGTTGGTTTCTTTGATCCTTTTCGACATAGAAAGCAGAAGAAAGGAAAGTAGTAACTATTCTTTATGGATATTTTGCTTGAAAATATATTTTCATTTAATCTTCATAATATGAGGTATGTTGGTGGTATTAACCTCATTTTACAGAGGAGAAAATTGGGGATTAGAGATGTTGAGTAATTTATGAGATCAGATAGTAATGAGTGGCAGAGCTGAAATTTATTCCTGTTAATTGCTTCTGCTGCTTGCATGAGGGGGTAATATGTTTTGTATTCATAGTGTCTTCCATGTAAAATGTGAAAAAAAAGAATATTAGACATTTATGTTTAAATCTAAAAACCTGGGGCTGGAGAGATGGCTCATTGGTTAAGAACACTGGCTTGCAGAAGACCCGGGTTCGAATCCCAGCACCCACATGGCAGCTAACAACTGTCCGTAACTCTAGTTCCAGGGGATCTGACAGCGTCTTCTGTCCTCTGCGGGCATTGCATGACACAGGTACCCTTACCTACAATCAGGAAAAACACACATACACAAAAAAATATAAAAAAAAAAAAAAACAAAAAAAAAAACCTGTAGCTGGTTGTGGTGGTGCATAGCTGTAATCCCAGGAGGTTAATTGAAGCAGGATTGGATTGAAGGCCAGCCTGGGCTATTATAGCAAGACCTTGCTTAAAAATTAAATAAAATTTTAAAAATGTAATAATTACTTTTTAAGTAAGACCAACTTGCTGTCTTTGAGATAGCTGAGACTTCAGATTAATTTGGTTCCAAAGTTTATAGTAGACCTTGAAAACATCATCCATCCTGTTGGTCTTTCAGACTAGTAGAGAAGATTGACATGTCCACTCATAGTGTGCTGTTTCTGGAGTTAAGTGGGGAGTATGCACAAAGCCCTGGGTTCAATCCACAACACCCTAAAAGATGTTAGATGGGGTTCCAGATGTTGGGAAAGGTGTTTCATTGGTATTTGAATGAGTCATTGTAAACGGTAAATAAGAGGGTGCTTGGTATAGAAAGGCAAGCTGCTGGAAATATAGCAGTTGGGAAAGCTTGCACAAAGACGTATGTGGAAAGTAGCAAGGTTTAACTTCTTAGAACTAAATTTAAGCTTTCAGTTGAGGGTTTTTACTCTATAAGGAATCAATAGATGTTCTAAAGCAGAGAGGAATGGAAAGGCAGAATATTAATTACAGTAGTTGAAGAACTATTCTGAGGGAGAGTTTAAGAGAGGGTTGATGTTACAGAAAGTGGTTTTTATTTTGTACTTTGCTTTGTAGCCCAACCTATCCTCAAACCACGATGTTCCTGCCTCAGTCTTCTGTATGCTGGGACTATTGGTATATGCCACCATACCCTGCTCAAAAAACTTTTTTTTTTCCCTCTTAACGATCGCCCAAATAGTGGAGTTCTCTATTCACTTGTAGATGTTTAGTCCAAATGACATTATTGATTAGTCCATCTGTAATACAGATTTTCTAATTTAAACATATTTCACCTTAAAGCCACCTATTCAACTTTCATTATGAAACTTGTAGTTCTGAAGAGTGATCTGGATATTTAATGTGACTATTTTAGATAATGTAGTGAAAAGGTAATACTATTTAAAGAGACAGGAGTACTAATCAGATGAACTTGACATAAGGTTTTTTTTAAGCAAGTTTTATTTTTGTTAAATGGCAAAAAATTGTAGAAATTTAAGAGACAAAATAATAGGAAAACAAGGATTACTTCTAATCAGTAGACAACAGTAATTGATTTTGGAGGGAATATACCATTCTTGCCACTAAATAAAACTTTAAAATATTTATTCAAATTCCAGAGTTCTAGAGTCAACCAAATGCTAAATTTAAATAAAGAAAAAAAATAGTTTTCTATTGTCACATATTTTGGTGACTAAATTACCATAGTACAAATGAAAATTTGTATTAATTTATTCTAGTACATTGTGATTTTTATTTAGTATGTAAGGTAGCTGTTCAACTGTCTAAATCTTTAGCCCATTCGATTAAATACTAACAATTTAAATTGCTATTACTCATATTTTTATGTAACGTGCTTCAAGTTATTTCTGGAAAAATGTGTTAAAAATTGCCTCTCTTTGGAATAAAAACAAAAGTTGCTATTACTCTTACCACCATTCCTAACAGTGCTAATAAAGAAAGAAGGAATCTTAAAACCTGTGTGGTTTACCCTCTCATTTTTACAAACGTTTTTCTTCAGTGGACTTTAGTTCTTCTTTTGTTAAGCTCTCACTTGGTTGTAGTCTTCTGGAAGTTCAGACCGTTTACTTTTCCATCTTTCAGCCAATGGCACAAAAAAAAAGGAAACCGAAGAGAGGAGATAGCATGTGCCAGAGAAGTAGAAAGAGCCTGTGTATGTCTCTGTGTGATCATATAACCATCCTAAAAGGAAGGGTTTCTAATTAAAAAGTAAATCTTTGTTAGTAATTCTCAACCAAAACATACATTAAAGGAAGGAGCCTCTTTTTTTTTTCCTTTTTTTTTTTTTTTTGAGACAGGGTCTCCTGTAGCCTAGCTGGCCCTGAGATCCCCCTGCCTGTCCCTTCCCAGTGCTGGGATTAAAGGTGTGTGCCACCATGCCCTGCTATTTTCTTTTTTTTGTAATATATAAAGCTAGTACAAAATAATGTTTCCCTGTCATTTCTGACTTACGAGGTTGACAAGTGTCAGTAAAAGGGAAAGATATTTCTTTAGGAAACTTAATGGACTCTGGACACAATTTACATCTATTTGGGATTAGAAATGTTTTCTTAAGCTGGGTGTAGTGACACATTTCTGTAACTCAGCATTTGAAAGTCAGGATCTTGAGTTCAAAGACAGCTTGGACTACATGACAAGTTCTAGGTAGCCTATACTATAGAGTGAGACCCAGTCTGAGAAAACCAAATTATATATATATATATATTTAAAGCTTTCTTAGAGAAAAAAAAGCTTTCTTAGAGTTTGTCTGAAAACAGTCACGTGTATGAAGTAACTTTGAGTTCAACATTTTTATCACACACCCACTGTAAGGTAAGGAAATAGATGGATTATATTAGCTTCATTTGATTTTCAATATTGAAATGAAAGAATGCAGATTCCAGTATTTCCCAGTTTTAGAAGTTTTAGACTTTTGTCCTAAGTATGGAGTCCTGATCGTGTACATGGCAGACTGAGTGCTGAAGAGCCATCGGAGGACCTGAGAGGGTAAAGGTTTTCTTCTCTGTGTAGCATGTAGCATCCAGCAGAGTGCTGAGCTAACACTGCTTGACGACTACTGAGTGAATACAGTTATAATCATATTGAAAACTTAGGGGGTGTTCAGATATTTGTGATTGATTTAATTATTTATATATACACATACAATAACGTATATGCATTTGTTAGGATTGGGGAGTAATTGGAGAAGGGGAAACTACATTCACTTTTATAGGTAGCTAATATGGGCCCTTGACTTTATTTTTAAATGAAATGGCCTTTATATTTTGAGCTCATGTCCCATGCCTTGCTGTCAAGATTAGGAATTTTATGTAGAGTAGTTTATGTCTGAATTGTATGTTGGAGATTATGATTATATACTTGCTTTTCTGACCAAGGCCTTGTCTACTGTATTTATATGCATTCTATAGATTTTATTAGTCAAGATCTGCTAAAAATATTAGGTTCTAAGATACTAATACTTTTCATTTTCCTACAGCCCTCCAAAGTTGCAGTCTTGGTGCTAGGGTATAATCCTGGATGCTGTCTACCATCAAAAGAATAGGTTTGGATGAGCCATGACATTTAGCCTATATTTAGTCTGCTGACCATTCTCACTCAGCCAGGGAATGAAGAAAATCCTTAAACTGAGTTAGTCTGATTTGCGCTATATTATTAACTGAAATTGGACTTGTTACTGATTATTAGAGACAGAGAGACTGAAGGGATTCTGGGTTGGAGTGGACAAGGGTAGTATCCTGTGGAAGAGTGTATGTAGGGAGGATGTTATCACTTTCTGTTCTTTGAATTCCTGTCAGTTTCAACAATGCTATAAGGATTTTTGTTGCTGCTATATTCCTTGCCATATTCACAAGAAAGATATAATTTTATTGCCCATGTACTGTTTTTTAAAAAATGAAAAATCATGTTTTTAAAAAGTTATATAAGTCCTATAGATTTCCTATCCTTTTTTTTGATGGAATTATTAGACTATTATGTAAAACTAACTTGTTTCTCTTTTTCATTCCCATACAGGAAGGAGAAGTATATTTTCATGTAATCACTGTTACCATTTTTAACTAATGTTTTGACTGAGGATTTACTGTTTGCCAGATTCCTACTTAAAAACAATTCCTACTTTGCCCATACTCTTTTATAGGAATTTCAGCTTTTCATTTGTTAATAGATCTAGGTAAGTAAAAAATGAGAATCTTGTACATCTCTGAAGATCACTAGTAAACATTTAGATTTAAAAATGAGCACAGTAATATAATTTCCCATAACTTAAGAATTGAGAGAGCTGTTTTGATTTTGAAGTACTAGGGAATTGAACCCAGAGCTTAACATGGTAGGCAAATAGTTCACAACTGAGTTGCATCTCTAGCTCAAAGAACTAAGTTAAATGTGTAAATCAGCATCTAGTGTTTTCTTTAGTGGTTGCTTCCAAAGTCAGAAGTTAGGAACAGATTTAATGTCTTTATAAAATCCTCTTTATCATTTCACAGAAGAATGGCATAGAAACAAGGACTTCTTGAAATTTCCTCTTTTAACAAGATGCTCAGCCACAGAACATCATTACCAGAGAAGCATAGTTAGTTGTGTGCTATCATGATCTTACTGAGATACTATGAGCATCTCCTTCCACCTAAGTCTATATGTAAGCTTTCAGCCTTATTACTTCCTTTGTTTTTTTTTTTAGACCTTGGAGAAAATTTATGATTACCGAAGTAAACTTCTTAGAATTAGTGGATACAAGTATCTATCAGGAGCTCTCCTTGTATCTTTACATAGAGTTCTAGGTATTCTAGACTTTGGGTAATACTAGGCTGTGAACATTTTTTTTTTTTTTTCTGACTGACAAGAAAAATATTTTATGTCTCATTTTATATTGCATAGGTATGTACATAAACCTTTCACAATAAAGTGATATACTCTTGTTTTCTACACTGCTCTGTTGTAGTCTATTTCATTAAAAAAACAAAAAATCAGTCTGTGTGTGGTGTTGCACACCTTTAATCCCAGCACTCTGGGAGGCAGAGGCAGGTGGACCTCTGTGAGTTCAAGCTAAACCTGGTGTACGAGGGAGTTCCAGGCCAGCTGGTGCTACAGGGAGACCCTGTCTCAGAAACACCCCAAAACAAAGCAAAACAAAAGTCAAACAGTGGCACATGCGTGTACTCTCAGCATTTGGGAAATGGAGGCAGGAGGATCAAGAGTTCAAAGACAGCCTCCCATAGATAGTGAATTCAGGGCCAGCTTAGGCTACATGAGCTCCTGTCTCAACCTGTTTCAATTTTTTAAAATTAAAAAGTCAAAGATCATACGTAACCTATCATACTGATTTCAAGGCTCATGTGCTTCCATAGCTTTATATTTTTAGATAGTGGTCCTTATAAAACTTGGCTCGTTTCCTTACATGTTGAACTCTTTAATTTTTTATTTTGAGTTAAAAGCACATACAGCATTAAACATTATAATTTTGTTATTTAACTTTATTCTTTGCCTAGTGTTATATCATTATACTTTTTGTCTAATGGGTTTTAAAAGTGCCTTTGAGGCAGCCAGTGAAGAAATACCAAGATTGAAAAATGTGTCAGCAGACTGTATTTGAGCTGTTTTCTGTATCATACTGATCCCTGTATTAGTTGTAGTACTCTAGGCAAGTATTCGAGTATTCAAGGCAAGTAGTATTCAAGGCAAGTCTGCTATTTGGCTTCTTATGCCAATCACTATAACAATTCTAGGCTTGACTTAAACTTTTTAGTGTGCTTTACAGGTGTAAAGACAACTTGCAAAATGAGGCAGTTGACGCATGTTTGTATAAACTTTTCCTTGAGAATATGCTTCAGTTGACTCTAAAATCATAATGTTTTTATCCTCTCTTTTTGATATCCTAAGTTTATATTTTTTGTGTTTTGTTTTTGTTTTTAGACAGTTTTGTGTGCGTGTGTGTATTGGTTGCCTTTTTAAGTCTTAAAAAGTGCAAATTTAATATCACAATAAAAGTTTTCTTAAAAACTGATAGACAAAATTTTCTTGGTTCTGGTCTGAAAGTAGTGAAAGTGAGAGCTAGGAATATAGCAATTGGTTTTGCCAAGCATGAAGGAAAGCATTACTTTGATTCCCCTCACCCCTGTATAAACCTCTTAAGTATAATGATGCATACCTCGGAGCATTCAGGAGATCTAGGTAGGAAGATCAGAAGGTTCACAGTCCCTTGGCTATATAGGGAGTTTGAGACCTGCTTGGGCTACAAGAGACCTTTTCTTTCTTTAAAAAAAAAATTTTTTTTTGAAAGAAGCTAACATGAGTTTTAGCTTGAGTTCCTTTTTGTGGGCAATGGAAATACTGTAGTGATTAGTAAAATCAAGTATATTGAACCTTTGGGTATGTGAGAACCTAATGTTTATGTTCCCCTAGTAATATTTTTCTGTGCATGTTGTCAAGTTTTTAATTAAATTAGCAAACAAAGAATACCAGTTAGCTAAAACTGAATATTTCCAGGAAAGAAAAATTGCACATCTGTTGAATTAGCTCTCAGATTTTTCTGTATTGGTGATGGAGTAGAGCAAATAGTTGGATTTTTGGGGGGGGGTGGTCTTTCTTTCTCTCTTTGGTTTGTTTTTTACTTTGTTTTTGAGACACAGTCTCACTATGTAGCCTAAACTGATCTGGAGGCTAACCTCAAATGGCAGTCTTCCTGACTCAGCCTTCCATCTTAAAATTAGCTTAAATAATTGCCTCATCAACTCTCTATTGTATTTATTTGTATATGATGCTTACCAGTGGCTTCAGGTGACCTTTGTACAGAGATTGTACCCATAATACAAAGTGTCCTGTGTCCTCTTACATTTGGTTCAGGTAGAAGAATATGAAAGGTCTTTTTACCTCTTGGAAAACCGTAAATCCTGGGCAGCCCTGGAGAGCTTAGTGACACAGCAGGAAACAAAAAGTGTCAAGGCTTGGGTGCCTTCAAGCTCTGTAAAAGTGATCCTTACATACATACAAAATATGTTAGGGTCTCCTATGCCCTTTTTTTTTTTTTTCTTTAAGAATAATGGAACTTTGAGACTGATAAAATTCTGAATTGTTAGCTGACATAAGTAGTAATATATCCATTCCTTGTACCAAGATTCTCCAGAGAATATAAGACTCTTTGTAGGACACATCTGTTGAATAACCACTCAGATTTTCCTGTATTGATAATGGGGAACAAAATACAAGGGTAGCATTTTTTTTTTTAACCTGTTCCTGTCATTACATGTTATTAATCCTGGTTTAATGTTTTCCATATTGAAATTTGCTCCAAATGTGGCTCAGTTGTTACCTGCTATAGGTGGTCCAGAAAGGACAGCTATCCCAGCAAAGAAAGCAGCAAATCCCAAAAACTTGTGTACTTTAGAATTCTTAGAAAGATCAACCTGTAGGGAATTTGAATTCAGTGTTAACCATTTTAAGGATGAAATTCTACAAGGTCTTCTGCTTACAAAGGGACAGATACTGTCTGTGTAATCTGAAACTGAACAGTTTGACGCCTAAAGTGATTCAAATGACTTTTGCTCCTAGTATTAGGAAATCAAATAAGGAATAGTAACTTGGCTTAGGCAAGGCAGTATTTTCAGTTTATTAGTGGAGGAATATTGGTGTTTGGTTTTGGTAGGTTAACCTTTTATGTAGTTCAGGAGTGTTTTTGTTTGTTTACCTCCCAAACCTCAGTGATCATCCTTCTCCACTAGGAAATGGTATTTTTACAATTTGAGCTGACAATGATAGTGAATCCACCTTTGGCTGAGTACCACCCACAGATTTGTAAGAGAATACAAGGAGTGGATTTCAGCTTTAGGAATCTGAGATTTTGCCTAAGCCTCATACACTGTCCTGCAGAACTTACATATAAATATTTCAGTTACATTTAAATATAGGATTTTTAAATCAGATGGGGTAACAATGGGAATAGTTTAAAAGTTGTCCTTAAAGTACACAGAACCAAAAGGCAGTAACCTCAAAAAGAAACCACGTATCAGAAGGCTCAAGATTGTGCCTTAGATCTTCTGAGTCCCTGGAGTAGGAGAGAACAGAAGACAATGGGAGTCTTGCTGATCTCTCTGCCTTTGTTCTTTTCCTGTTCTGTATGGCTAGTCCTCTTAGCTCCTCTTCCTCACAAGGTAAGATGATGACAGGACGTAGCTAGCTATAGGATTTCTGAGGCCTTTTGTATTTTTTTTAATAGTTAAAAAAAAAATATATATATATAATTTGTATTATTTGGGGGGAAGATTGTTACTGATACTGAAACTCAGAGGTTTAATGTAAGTAATGAATTTGTCTACTCACCAGTACGGGAAGTATCAGTGCCAGATAGCCACCAGCAAAAATGGCAAAGAAGATAGTGTAGGTCATAAGTAATGGAAATGTGGTGGCTAAAGGAGCAAGCAGATTAGTTATACCACACAGAATGAGGTAAGACTTGTGGTATTGATACTTCTTGATCCAGTTTTGATCAGCAATCCATCCAGAAATGAGCTGACTGACTGTCTCAGTGATACCTGGAATAATAAATACAGAGTCAGGTAGTCCTATCTATTTTCCTAACCCCTTTGAAGAAATGTAAATGCATAAAGTATCTTTCCCCAAGAAATAGGACTCTATCCTGAGGCCAGAGTACATGAGGGAAAAATGGTTTCATTTACCCAAATAGGATATGTAATTTACTTTCCTGTCCCAAATTTAATAATAAAATAACCAAAAAGCTCCCTTCACTTGGACAGAAAATCAAGTTGTCAGATGTTTTTTTCTAATTGTGTGTGGAAATCTCCCAACACCAAATGGGGAGTTCCTGCTAACCAGACCATGGACTGAAGAGGCCCTGCAAGTGAGGATATAAAATTTCTAAAAAGACTAGTCTTGTCCTTAGTTGTATCCTGAGGAAGTCATATGGTGAAACATTGAGGAAAAAAACAGTGTTAGGTTAAAAAAAATGTTGGGGCTCTCTCTTTTATTTGCTTATGAAGCTTTGGGATTTAAAACCTCCAAAGGCCATATTTAACTTGAAAATATGTAAGAAGTCTAGAAATGTCATATTTAGAACATAGGTGTGGTATAACAAAAATAAGAACCATAGTTTTTTCACTCTTACTGTAACATTCTTACCCTTTATCTTGTTATAAGATACTATAACAGTTAAATACCAAAGAGGTTTTCATCAAGAATAGCTTGAGCAAGGCTTAGGCTATGATGTTCAGTGGTGGAATGCTTATTTAGCATGTATAAGGCTCTGTGTTCAAAGAATAGCATGAGTTCCAGTTTGAAATTTATATTTTTCATGGAGTTCAAACACAGTGCTCCATTAAATGAGAATTAAAAAGTGGCTACTTCTGTATTGATTTTATAATAATCTCTTAGGATGCATATTGAAATTTTATTATGATTTTTGGTTCCATTTGTATGGCCTTAGCATGATCTAAATTGATTCTCTCAGACATCATAGGGAAAAACAATGGTTAATGAAAGCTTCTCTGGTGTGTACACAGCATATTTGACTGAAGCTCAGCATCTTTGTAGTTAGAACATTTGAAACTAGGCTTTGTAAGGTTTTGGTAAGTATATTTTCCCAAGAAATCAGTAGGAAAGTTCATTTGAGCTATTGAGAATGTCCAGATTAGAGCAGAACAGATCAAGATCATTCTTGGGTTTTTTTTTTTTTCCCAGACTCCGTTTTGTCAGCTGAACCTACAACTTTACAATTTTGATTACACAAAATAGTCATTTTAACTTACATTCTAACTTATTTTAAAAATCAGCCTGTGTGTTAGTGTCTAACTCAAGGGCATATTTATCTGTCTTAATATTATTTCAAGAGGAAATATACTTAGCAGCTACAAATGCTAATGGAACATTATTCTTACTGTGAACCACACACTACATACTACTAAATTACATAATGTGTATTTATAATGCAACTGTGTGAGGGTAAGTAGTGTGTTATGCCTGTCCTTCAGGTACAGAAATTGTGGCATAGAGAAGACAAATATCTTGCCCAAGGTCACACACAACAAGGAAAGTCAGACCAAGAGTCTGACCCTGGGAAGTCAAGCATCCACCAGCCCTTTCAGTCCACTTGCACTGGGTTGTCTAGCTGAAATTTTTCTCCTTCCTGAAGTAGCTGTTACCACTAAACACCAGCATTTTGAAATTAAGTGTCTACCCAACAACTAGCTACTACAAGATTTTGCTGTGTCAGATACATGAAATTGAGTAAGACGAGTTAGGGTCCACTGTCTAAGGTGCAGTCGACATCTATGTGAGGAAATGTGTAGCCTCAGAAAACTTGCTTTTCCTGGCTACTCCATGGCTCAGCTCTTCCTTCAGTTTTTAAGTAGTCTAATAAACTTACCAAACTAGTTCATTTTTCCTTCTAGGTAGGTTTTGATATAGGTATTCTTACCAGCTACAGACACGAGGTAAGAAGCATCCATTATGTCAATCCCGAGTGTTTTGGCTCTGGCTACTAGGTGAAAGGCAGGGATGAAATATGCTAACTGACTGAAGACAAAAGACCAGGTAAATATGTAGAAGAAAGGATTCCTAAAGAGAGAAATATCAAAAAGGTTTTGTTTGCAGTTCCATGAAACAGACTTATTGTAACTTTCATTACTCCTTGGTAACAGTCTGATCCTGTGAGGCCCATTGTTGCATTCTTCATTCTGATTTTGTAGGACAACTGAACTTCTATCAGATTGTCCAGATTTCTTCATAGTACTGCCCTCAGTGGAAGACTCTTGTGTTTCATTGTATGTTTCTGTCTCACATGATGCCTCTGGACCACTTGCAGACAAACTGCTACCTTTGTCTTTTATATCAGAATTGTTCTCTCTTTTGACATGGATGGGTCTTAAGAGCATGCTGGAAGGCACCAAATTCAGTGCAATAGCTCCAAATAGTATGAGAGCACCTAAAAGGAGAGAAATGGAGAAGTTAAAAACCTCCATTCAGAGTTCTTTCTGTTCATGGACTCAGAAGAGGCCAAACTATACAGTCCAATCGTTCTCGAAAATACTACTTTGCCTCCCCAGTTTAACTGAAAGCATTTAAATTTGTTGACTTGTAGCAATATGCACTGCCGTAAGAATAGAGTCCTTAGGAAATAGAAAACAAGCTGGACCAAGAAGTGGGATAGAAAGAGAAGTGGTTACTTTTGCTGAAGTAAAAACTAAAAGTAATGGACTTTGGAAGGAGGACTGATTCTGAATGTTAAAAATTGCAGTGCATTTTAAGTAGGGATTTTGAGTACTTTGCAGTGACTATAGATTTAGGTATAGAAAATACAGAATTAGCTGACAGGAATCATGGGGAAACAAGCTCAGAAAAGAACTAGACTTTTAGCCTATGATTTAAAAAAAAAAAAAAAACCTTGAAAGAAGATGTGCTAATCTTGCCTTTGATTGATTTCAGTGTGTCCTGATCAAAGCTGTGACCTGCCTATGGTGTTTCTAGAGAGAACAAGCTGTAGGTTTTCCAAAAGATTTGTCAGCTGGAGGATCGCCTTCACCACAGGACTACTGAATAGTGTTCTACGTAGGAAAGATTCAACAAAACTACTATAAAGAGAAATAGGGTACAGACTGATGTTTTCTACTTATAGGATATTCTAAACATACTTCAAATACAGAGAATTATGAAATAAATGATTTTTATTCATGAAAATTTATACTTGGTAATATGATCAACTATTAGAACATAATCCTTTTACAAAAGTATTTTTCCATTTCATCTGTTTAGGGTATTTTCTAAATGTAGGGTTTTTTTTTTTTTCTTGGAAAATATAAAAAGTGAATGCCTTAGTGAGGGATCAGAGGAAAAGAACTGGTTTCTAGTTGTAACAGTACCCTTTATAACCTCTGACATTGAACTCTAAAGTGAATTCTGAGTTGTTTTATCTGAGCTGGCCAAGCCTCCAAGTCACAGAAGATCTCTTCTGTCTCCAAGGAAGAGGGGCATGTTTCCTTTAAGTATCATTCTTAATTTCCTTTCTGGAAATACTGTTCCCACCCCTGCTCCCAGTGTAGGGGATTGAACTCAGGGCCTTGTACATGGTATGGCAATACTGTTTGCTCTTAGATGCACAGTGCTTTTAGCCTTTAATTCCAGCAAGAGGATTGCCACAAAATTTGAGTCCAGTGTAGGTAGTCTACATAGCAAGTTCCAGATTAGTCAGGATCTCATAGTGAGATGGGGGACATGGGAGAGAAGTTGATTACTTTGAAGCTTCACTTCTGGTCATCAAAGGGAGAGATGAATATTAATTCCTGCAGTGTTGACAGTGGAGCGATTTAGACTGACTCACCTGACCAGTCATAGACATCTATCAGGAATTTTGTAAAGGGTGCCAATAGAAATGTCAGTCCCATTCCAGAACGGGCAATAGCTGTAGAAAGACCCAATCGTTTTTTGAAGTATTTCGTAATTACCACTGCAGCTACTTGGTACAAGAAAGCAGACCCCAATCCTAAGAGAAGAAAAAAATTTGAAATTACTTATGAGGTCGTTTTGTTAATTGGATGAGATGTTTGAGAGAATATATTCAGGATTTGAGAGCAATAGATGTTTCCTGTTTCATCTTTTACAGCCTGTTTATAGTGGACTCACCAGGTAATAGTCCCATAGTCACACAAAGAAATGGAATGCTTGTAGCCCAGCTGCTGATCAGATAGCCCCCAGAAACAAGGAAAGTCCCAAGAATGGAAGTAGTTTTCTCTCCAAGTATGTCAGAAATGATGGCAGCCAGGGGACCTTAAGAGAAAAAGAGAGTGCTAGGTAATGGGCTTCGGCATCCCTTACCCCCTGTGTGTGATTTGAATGAATGATTAGAGAACAACAAGAAGACAGTAAATATGTGTAAAATAAAATGCATTTGTACTAATGGTCTGTGCCTTGTATGAGATTGAGTCACTAGTCTTTATATTACAGCACCAACTAAAACTAGAGAAATTGGGCCTATGTTTTGTTTTGAATGTGATTACATAATTAGAACTGAATAGTTTGACTTCTGGGTAAGGGCTTAGCTCACTAGACTTGTATTAAAGCCATTACCAGATTGGAAAGAAACGAGGCATGAAAAATGCAGCCATGAATTAAATAGTTGGATTCTTAATTCCTTTTTAACTCTTAATTTTCCCAGTTTACTCACCCAGTTAACTAGAGTCTAAACACTATGATGTCTTACTCTTACAACATTACATTTGGATATCAATGTATATTAATGAGTGAACTTGGCTGCTGGCAATACTTCAGTCTTAAAGGAATAACATCATCATGGGATTACCCTTTGTGGTCATTTTCTGTGAACAACAAATTTATTGCCAATTTTGTACCTGCAAAAAATCGAAGTGATGACATGATGGATCCAATCCAACCAATTTGCTCTGAGGTGCCTTCAAACTCTTCTTGAAAGACCACAAAGAAAATTGCAAATGTCTTGGTCATTGCCATCACAAATACATTTACCTAAAGCAAAGCAGAGTCTTTGAGATGGAAAGCGAGCCAGTGCAGAAGAGATTGCAGTTGCCAGAGGTTGTTGCCTCAACTCCAGTACTTCCCCATTTGTCTTATTGGTGCTTCCTCATTACGTCATTTTAGGGACTGGGAGGTGGGTGCAGTTTATTCCTCTTTAGAGAGGCCAAGTATGTTCCTTAAAGTGTGTCATTCAGTCCCCATTTCAGGGCTTTGGAATAGATAGGTCACTACTGTATTAGAGATGAGAAGTTGAAGTTCATAGAGAAAAAGTTGTAAAAGATGATGAACTGAGATTTATACCCATATAGACTGTCTAGATCCATTAATGCTTTGCTGTTTCTCAGAAAGTCAGTTTTTCTAGTTGCCTTGGTCCAAAAGAAGAGCAGTATATGTTCCACTGGATACAGGGAGTCATCCAAATTGGGGTACTTGAAATGAGAGAACACTTGGCTATGTCATGACAGCAAGGATTGACCAAAATGTGTAGTCATCTCATGATTGGGCCCTGTCCTTTCTGTTCAATTAAAAAAAAAAATTGTATAGGTGCACATGTGGAGGTTAGAGGACAACTTGCAGGAGCCAGTTCTTGCCTTTATCATACATGTTTAGAGGATTGAACTCAGTTCATTAGTTTTGGCAATAAACCCTTTTACCCACTGAGCCATATCCCAGGCCCCCAGTCTTTATTTCACCTAACCCTTCTGGCCTTCCCCTCTCCCATTAGAATTTCTCATGGGGAAAGAAAGGTGACAAGTCCATACTGCTTTTTCAGAAGACCTGAGTTGGGTTCCTATCACTTAGCTCATAACTACCTGTAACTCCAGCTCCAGAGGAACCAGTACACTCACTCTTGTACTCCACAGGCTTGTACTCCACTGAACTTACACACAAACTTAAAAACTTTTGGGGGCTGGATAGATGGCTCAGTGGTTAAGAAAACTGGCTGTTCTTCCAGAGGACCTGGCTTCAGTTCCCAGCACCCACATGGCAGCTAATAACAGTTTGTAACTCCATTTCCAGGGAGTCTGACATCTGGATCCCACAGGTTTGCACACACATGGTATATTTACATACATACAGGCACTTGCACACAAAAATTCTTACTCCTGGGGTCACTTTAGTGAACAGCTGTTCCTTTGCTTATCAGGAAAACTATACCCTTGGAGAATCTGGAGGAGGAACTTGAAGGGTCTACATTCACTGTCAAAGCCACTGTCAGCTGAGTACAAGCACCAATAAGACAAATGAGGAAGTACTTCCTAGCCTCCCCCTTTTCTATTTGAGTAGTCTTGACTCCCAGACCTCCTCGACATGACCAGGCATTCAATATTGCTTGAGAACCATTGGCTCTGGGTTCCCCTTCACTGATTGCACTTGCTTGTCTCTGTGGTGCTGTGCCTGTTGTCTTTAATACTCCTTGGTCAATCCCATCTACTCTTAAGGTTCTAATTAGCACCCATATACGAATGGTGGTATAGTTAGGAGCGTGGGTCTGTAACCAGCTGGCCTTGTTTTCGTCTTACTCTGCTTCCCACTATGGGTGACTGTGATACTGTGAGCAACTACTTTGTAGATGCTAAATCTCCTTTTATATGTGAAATGAGAGTGAAAATGCATATAGGAATATGAAGAACAACTAGATTTTGTTGTGTTACTATTCAGCTTCCCCAGAAGCTATAGACTCCTAACCTGCCATATCTCTATAGCCCTGGCCAGGCTGTCCAAACTTGAGCTTATCTTTCCCTCTCCATGCCAACTCTTCACTTTCTGGATTAGTGCCATCTACTCACCAGAGACAGAGGTCTGTTTCCATTTAGACACCACCATTCCTCAAACGGTACTTTTAAATAATCATCAAGATCTTTCCCTTCCTTTAATCCCATTTCTAGTCTTGTTGCAGGCTAGTAGTATTTTTCTGGAGGCAAGGGACTGAAAATTGGCAACAGTGCTTAGGAAGCTTCAGAAGTTGGGGAAATAGGAAGGTCCCTTAAACATTTTTCTCATTCTGAATTGATAGAAAGTGCAAGACTACCTTATTTAGAAAGAACAATAATGTGTACACAGGTCAACCTTCCCATCCAGGCAATCTGTTACCATGTTTTTCTAAGACATTACTATCAGTAAATAGAATGGAAAATATATACAAATCTCAAATACCCTAGATTTGTTTCAGATCAAAATAGAGTGATTGTGCCCTTTTAATGATCAAGGAGTCCTAATGTGAGGTGTCATTCTGTAAGTAAGCTTCCTTTTTTTCCTGTGTATGTATGTGGGCTTTGCCCTGACATCCACAGGATCCTCGTCTCTGTTCTTTTAAAAAAAATTTTAATTTTAATTTTTTATTTATTATTTTTATGTTATGTGTATGTGTGTATTGCCTGGTAGTAGGTAAGTGCACCCGTGTCATACAGTGCCTGTGGAGGACAGAAGAGGCTGTCGGATCCCGTGGAACTGGAGTTATGGACAGTTGTTAGCTGCCATGTGGGTGCTGGGACTTGAACCCTGGTCTTCTGCAAGAATTGCCAGTGATCTTAACTGCTGAGCCATCTCTCCAGCCCCTAATTTTTTTTTCAGTTTTTAAATATCACTTCATCATATCAAGCTTTTACTTAAAATTTTTACAATTTGAATGTCATTAAAAACATTTGCAGAAATATGACATACTATATTTTTAATATGATAAAATGATACATAATTTATCCTTCCCAGCTCAAAATTCAATATAAAACAAAATGTTAACTTCGTTCACTAAATGCTTATAAACACAATATGAAATAATTGCTGGCATATGTAAATTGAACTTGAATCTTCACTCTCCCTTTTGTACACTGATGATCATTTTGCAGAAATAAGATGACTGGTAGTAACTCAGATAAAACAAACTACACCAAGTACATATTAGTGAAGATATTACGGTGGAAAATCAAGTAACAGCAGAAATGTTTGGTAATAGTCTTCACTAGTATGCTACCAAGATTTTCAAGTTCTCATCAGATAACGTAAATACCTCATCCCCAAATAACAAAAACCTAAGAATGTTCCAGTCATTTTTATCTTTATGAGCAGCTAGTTATGAACCCAGAACACTCTTTAAGTAGGCCTCAATAAGAGCTCCTTTGCAAGATCATTCTTATTCACTGATGATTTGGGGTTGGGCCATGTCTCAATCAGCCTCAGTGACCCAACTTGAAATTAGACTGCCAGGATTACTTTTATTTAATAACAGCTTCTTTCCTCCCCAGACCTTTCTACAGTACTGTTCTAGCTTATTCTGACTTCTGCAGACAAATTTCTTCAATGTTTATTAAGTGTGTCTGCGTCACAGCATTCCACTGAAAACCAAAGTACACCTAGTCTCAATCCCTATAGTCGAAGAGCTCTGACCAGGGTCATCAGAGACTTGTTGCTAGGTAAATAGATTGTTGGTATTTCTATCATCCTTAGCCTCCCAGCAGTAGTCACACATCTTTTTTTTTTTTTTTTTCCTGATAACTTCTAGATTTCTGCTTCTAGATTTCTGTTTCCTCTTGGATGATTCCGCTCATCCCCTACATTGATTTCCTCCAAGATTTTATTAGTTCTCTGTGATGATTTCACCCACCTTGCCTTACAGTTCAAACTATATATGCTGGAGATGCAGAAATTCTGCTTCAGATGCACATAGACTATATTAAGCACATTCTTGGTTATAAGTACCTTGGACTCTATCCAAGATTAAGCCAATCAAAGTGCTGAGTTTTTTTCTTCTTCTTGTGCCCTCCAACTCCAGTGAATAGCATTTATCACTTATGTTGCTTAAACCAGCAACTCAGGACTTTTGGATACCCTGATATCAAAAAGTTAAAGTGATCTGGGGACACTTAAGAATTGCAAGGTTATGGGGCTGGAGAGATGGCTCAGCAGTAAAGAGCACTGATTATTCTTGCATAGGACCTGGGCCCAATCCCAGCACCCACATGGCAGTGAACAACCATCTGTAACTCCAGTTCCAGGGGATCCAACCCCCTCTTCTGGCCTCTGAGGACATTGCACAATATGAGTGCACCTACACACCTGCAGGGAATACATTCATACACATAGAAAATAAAAATAAATTGCAGGATTATTTGAAGCACAGCTGTGCTGGATCCACCACTGTTCTAGAATGGGCATGCTGATAATGCGCATCACCCCTGTTTTACATAGCAACCCCAACAGAGTCTGGAAAGATGAGGGCAAGAAGTCTACTTCTTTTATCATACACATCAGAAATACTGAATTTTATTCTAGTTTAAGTTATAGTGTGTGTGTCAATGTGCATAAGGATGTAGGTAGTAGTAGGCTGAAATGTCTCCAAACCTTATCAAATGAAGGGGCACTACTGCCAGCAGCATTATACACATGCTGGTCTGAAGTAGGTACTTAGTTTTGACATAGGGTCTTACTATGTATGACCAGCTGGCCTTGAATGCAGAAGCATACATCCTTCTACAGCCTCCAGAATGCTGGGATTAGAAGCATAGCCAGCACATTTGAGCAGAATACGCTTCAGTTTCCCAGCTTAGCTATGGCATAGTTAAATATATGATTGTCCCTAAATCCTAACTGCCATGTTGCCAGGGTGAGTACTCTCTATGTTAAAGAGATGATAGAGTAGAGAACTGGATGGAGATAGTTCTACTTTTTGTCAAGGGAGACAGCTTAGTCCACTTCTGGTTTCAACTTGGGCTTCTAATCTTAGCAATTTGGGGCAGTTCCTGGCTCCCTCAACTCAAATTCCTCGATTTCCTTGTTTTTCTTGTTGGGCTACTTAAAGCTTTTCTTCAGACAGTCAAGCAGTTAGAAAGGAGAAAGGAACTTACCAGGAAAAAGTGAAATACAATCATCCATCCCCATCCTCCATCCAGGGTTTTAGTGTTCGGTGGGGTTGCTTCTCTCTTCAGCATGATGTGTCCTATATGTTAAATACAGAGGATCACTGTGACAGATCCAAGAAAGTTGATTCAGTAAAGAAACTGAATATTTTTCTTTTTTTTGAGACCAGGTCCTGTTATGTAGTCCTGGATGGCCTAGAACTCATGGCATTCTTCTGCCTCCAACTCTTGAATGCTGGGATTACAGGTGTGCATGGCTAAACTTTAAAATTTTTATCTATGTATTTTATATGTAGGAGTGTACTGCCTGTATGTAAGTGCACCCTTGTGCAATGCCTGCAGAGAACTAGAATTACAGTTGTTAGCCACCATGTGGGTGCTGGGAAGTGAACCTGGGTCCTCTGCAAGAGCAGCCAGTCCTGAGCTATCTCTCCAGCCCTGTGGCTAAACTTTTAAATTTTTTTTTCTGTGGTATAAAATCACTTGCTCTATAATTTTAAATTTTCTACTTTGCCCTTTTATTACATGTGAAGTCTTCCTGATGTATTAAATAAGGGCTCAGTTAACTGCAGAGCCTGACTCCATGACTACAGTAGCTACACCTCTTGTGCTCAGGCTCTCTATCAGCTACAAGCCAATTCTAGAAGCCGTATGGTAACCTACTCCTGTGACTAGCCCTTGATTTTAAAGGAAAAAAAAGGGAGGGTTGGAAAGATGGTTCATTGGATAAGCACATTGCTCTTCAGAGGACATGGGTTTGGATCTTGGCACCCACATGGCAGCTGACCATTCATAGCTCCCCCTTCTGACCTCTGTGGGCACTGCACATCATAGATGCACTTACATACATGCAGGCAATACACTCATACCCATGAAAAATAATATACTTTTAGAAAGAAAAAAAGGGAGGGGGCCTTGGGGTTTAGAAAGCTCCTTTATATGGTATTCACTACATTGTAGCTGTTTTAAGTAACTAAATAGATATGCCAACAAAGTACAATATCTGGATTTTCTCTTTTTTCGAGATGGGGTCTCTTTGTAGCCCCAGCTGACCTGGAATTTACTATGCAGACCAGGCTGACACACAGGCTTTGATCTTACAGAGCCTCGGCCTTGGCCTCAGCTTCAGAGTGCTGGGATTAAAGGTCTGCACCACCATTCCTTGCTAATATTTGTTTCTTGAATAGATACTAGAACAGGAAAGGAATTTGGGAAGGCTAGTTGGGAAACATGAGTGTGAACTGTAGTAGCGGGAGGTGTATGGAGGTTAAAATTTGGGGCATGACAAGTCTGTAGGAGATTGGTCTTGTCCTTATGAGAAAAAATGCTGAAGTTTCAAGAGTGAAATGTCTTCTCCCTTCACACAGTTTGGTAAATAAATACCTGCATATAAAGAAAATGGATGTGTTCTGGGGAGTGGGTGCTATGGGTACTACGCTCGGTTCCTGCTGCCAGCTTGAAGAAAGGCTGTTTCCACAGAGGAGAAACAGCCAGTTTTCTCTCTCTCTCTCTCTCTCTCTCTCTCCCCCCCCCCGGCTGTTCAGTGGTCAGGCTGGACAAAGAGATGTCATTTATTTCAGATGACAGAGAAAACCCAACACCCAATCTCATTTTCACCTTACCTTTGATGTGGTGTTCGACAAAGGAATCTTCTACAGACAAGGAAAACTTCAAGGAAAAATTAGTTACGATTTTTCCCAAACTGTTACTCTTTTCCTAAGGCATTTCATTCCTCTGCGCTGTGAAAAGCCAGCATTGTAGTCAAGCAGGGCAGAGCCTGTTTAGGCGTTCCTTGCCAGTGGACTTTACTTCCTGAGGGAGGAGGAAAGGCTGTAACTTGAGAGCAACTCAGGCCAGCCATCCTGGCTGCCCACAGAATAGACTTTTTCACCATAGGTCAAAAGTAGTTATTGGAGTAAACCAAGGAGAAAATCCTTCCGGTGACATCTCAAGGCTGGGGGACTGGTTTCCAGAACTTTAAAATGCTTGCCCAAAGTTCCTACAGGGAGTTTCAAGACATGGTTATTTTACAAGAGAAATACAAATCTCATCCAGAGGTGAGAAATATATTTCTTGGACCACAAATAGCAATCTTGGGGCTGGGGATGTAGCTCATTGGTACATGCATGCTTAGCATGTGAATGACCCTAAATTCAGTCCTTAGCAGCAAACACACACACACACACACGCACGCATACACTCACGTAGAGTCCTGAATAAGTTCAACTTGCTTGTATGGTCACTGACTAGTATGATGACTAATTTGGGGTTTTAGGTCCTGCTTTAATTGCTTTTTTGATACCTGTTTACCTTCAAATCCACTTTGTGAAGGATATACACTTAGAATAATTTTAGTGAAACGTTTTTCTTATTGCATTTTGGAACTGATTAAGACTGTGTCTCCTGGATAATTCAACATTGTAGTCCTATTTCCTTCCTTTGCTCCACCCTTTACATTAAAAAATAAGTCAACAAGAAAGTATCTTTGATCTCCCCACACCAGCATCCAGATTTTAAGAGTGTATTTTAAACCACAGTATGTTTTCCTGGTCTGATCTAGAAATCTGCATGTTTATGCATTCTCTTTTATTTTTTAAAAAATTTTTAAGGCTGGGCATGGAGGTGCACGCCTTTAATCCCAGCACTTGGGAGGCAGAGGCAGGCAGATCTTTGTGAGTTCAAGGCCAGCCTGGTCTACATAGCGAGTTCCAGGACAGCTGGGGCTACAGGGAGACCCTGTCTCAGACCAAAAAAAAAATTTTTTTTAAATAATTTTATTTGTATATGTATGTGTGTATTGCCTGCAGAACTGGAATTATGGACAGTTGTTAGCTGCCATGTGGGTGCTGGGATTCGAACCCAGGGTCTTCTGCAAGACCAACCAGTGTTCTTAACCGCTGAGCCATCTCTCTAGCCCCAATGCATTCCCTTTTAAAAGCAAGCGATTTCTTTCTCATCCCCTTTTAACACCCAACTCTAATACTTTTTTAAATGAAAATGCTTGCAGAAGGAAATCTTAGTTGTTCATAAGGATGCATAGTAAATGTAATTATGGAAAGATTATGCAATTATGTGGTGCTGGTGGTAGAGATCAAACAAACATTCAGTAGGCAGCAAAATCCAGGGGGAGAGAAATGCTTTCTCAAGGAGCTCTTTGATAATTATATACCCTAGAAAAAATTTTAGTAACCATCTATGGAACTGCTTTCAATGTCTTTGGTAGCACATTTGTTACTCTTTTTAAAAAACAAAAATTTAAATTTGTATGTTTTCCTGCATGTATGTAAGTACACCATGTGCATGCAATGTGTGCAGACGCCAGAAGATGGTGCTGGATCTCCTGGAACTGGAGTTACAGATGGTTGTGAGCTGAGATGTGATGTGGGTGCTGAGAACTGAACCCAGGTCCCCTGGAAGAGCAACAAATATTTTAAATGCTGAGCTATTCACTTTTTACTCTTTTAAAGCTGAGCTGTGATTTCAGTCCCAAGAGATAAGGTTGAGCTTGATACCGATAACTCTGGTTCTGAGGCCTACAAGATTTGAAATAGGGTGGAAGTCATTCAAAGGCTATGAGGGCTGCAAAGTCCTCATAGATGAGCTCTTTTGTACAGACTTTTCTTGTAACTACATTGATAGGAAGTTTTGAGGGATAGAGGGAAATGCTGACTTGCTTAGAATCTCAACTTAGCATTTTTAAGTCATGAAACTCTGAGAAAGTTACCCTTTTTTGAATGAATCTCTTTCCAGATTCATTTGACAGGACTGTTATGAGGATTAACACTAGTTCTTATGTGGCTGTAGAGATGACTCAGCACTTGAGCGCATTGGCTGCTCTTGCAGATGACCTGGGTTTTGTTCCCAGCACCCATATGGCAGCATGACTTCAGTTCCAGGGGATCTGATACCCTCCTCTGATCTCCATGGGCACTGCACAATACGGTGTATCTAAATAACATGCAGACAATACACTCATATGCATAATGTAAAAATAAAAACAAAAAATAGTCCTTATTACACTGAGTATGATGGTTCACACTTGTAATCTCAGCACCTGAGAGGCTGAAAAAAGGATTGCTGTGATTTTGAGCCCAAACTGGATTACAGAATGAGACCTTGTCTCAAACAAAACCAGAACACAAAAACAAGATATTTTTGTTAATCCGATGAAAGAATTAGTAAGCTATCTTTTGGGATATTAGTTAACATTTAGCACCTATACTCTACTGATGAAGTTTCCAGGGCCTTTAACTAAACAGTACTATTTTCTCAGCCTACAACCTTTTTGAAAAAATATTTTTATTTTACAACCTTTTAACTCTTGGTCTTAAAGCTATTCAGTAAGGGTTCACCATGATTTCCTATTACATTCACTCTACTGTGAGATACCCTATAATTTTCAGCTCTTGGGACTCAGTTTAGTATAGCACTACCAGAAAGCTTTCAGAAAAACCCTTCCTTGTCCTATTTCAGTCTTTACTTATCCTTTAGAAAGTTTGGCTCACAAGGTTGGCCTGTTGCTGGCATTTGGGTACTTAGGTTTCAAGAGAATTCCCATCATTTCCTAAATGAATGGATCATTGCATAGGTGCAAACAATGTGACTTACACTGCTGAACACTCCCTTCCAGGAATAGGGAAGTTTATGTGCTAGAAGAAAATGCTTATGTGACCAGTCTCCCTCAGTGTCTAGTGAACGTCCCTAGATGGAGACATTTCATGAATGTTATCACATCTCATTGTTAGAGGAATTAAGTATATTCTATGTGATGCCACTGAAAAAGGATTTGGAAGTTTATTCCTTTTTTTCTTCATTTTGCCCCACTCACCTTTTCCTTTTGTTGATTCTTTCACTACAATAAATGATCACAAGGAAACACTGAATATTTTGCATCCTAGTGAGTCATCAAAGCTGCAAAATTGTAGTTCTGGGTTCTCTAGAGAACTAACATTCTCGAGCCAGAACCAGTTGACAGTGGAAGGGAGGATAGTAAGATTACTATAAGGAACTGGTTTACATTATAGAGACTGAGACACCCAACGTCTGCAGGCAGCCAGCTGCAGACCTAGGAGTCCATGGTAGGATTCCATTCCAAGTAAGAGGGCAACAAGAACTGATGGTGTAAGTTCCACTTATGGTCTGAGAGCAGAGAACCAAGTTCAGATTGTCAAATGGAGAGAAATAATGTAAGCCTTTTAGTTTATTCAGGGCTTCAATGGATCACAGGAGGCCCACCCACCTTAGGAAGGCAATCTTCCTCATTCAGTCTAGCGGATTCAAATGATCTTGTCCAGAAACACCCTTACAGTCACAACCAGAAATGTTTAACTCAAGTATCTTGGCTTCTTATAGCCCAGTCAAGTTCATACACAAAATCAGTCATCATAGGGGACAGGCTTGGGAAACCCCATGCAACTATACTTCAGCTTTAGTTCTGTACAGACTTGATCAGTCATCTCCAGCCCTCAGTTCTTTGTAGCATGTCTTATTAATATACTGAATATACTTTTTCCCAAATGGCTTTGAGTAAATGAGAAAATGTTTGTGTCATTCAATAAACTACTGTCTCCTCTGTGCCAGATACTGCTAAACAGGTGATCTGTGAAAAGCAGATGTGGCATGATATGACATGAAGTGTAAGCAGGAGCTGGATCTTACAAGACATAGGAGGCCATGCTAGCAACTTTGAATTTTGTTCAAAATGCAATGGGTGGGAGGCTCCTGAAGGTTTAAATTGTGCCTGGAACATAGTGAGCACTTACACCATGTTATTATCACCAGTCACCTTTCTTCTGTTTTTTATACTAATTCTACCACATAGACTAGGAAATTCAGTCATCTTCCTCATTCTCCTTTTTCCCTTCTTTGCCTTTTGTGTTTGGTACTGAGCTAATTATTTTGCTGAACCATTCTTCTCTAAAATGGGGATAATATGGACTAAATGAGTTAAATGCATATAAATTGCTTAGTATATGATTAGCAAAGATCTCACTAAAGATGGGTTCTTAGAAGCTACAATGGTGGAGAGAGAAGGCTCAGTGGTTAAGAGCAAGTAACTGTTCTTGCAGAGGACCCAAGTTCAGTTCCCAACACCCACATCAAGCAGTCCAAAACTGCTTTAACTCCAGCTCCAGGGAATCAGTGCCCTTTTCTGTCCTTCATGGGCACTGCACTCATGTGCACATACACACACATATATACACAAAAATATATTTTTTTTTTGTCTTTTTGAGACAGGGTGTCCCTGTAGCCCTTAGCTGGCCTGGATTTGCTATGGAGACCACGCTGGCCTCGCACTCACAGAGATCCACCTGCCTCTGCCTCCCGAGTGCTGGGATTAAAGGTGTGCACCCCCACACCTGGCCACAAAAATAATTTTTAAAAAGCTAGGCATGGTAGTCCCAGCATCTTTCAAAGACTTTAAATTGAATTTTTGCAAATTTCATACAATATATTTTGATCATATTTAGACCCCCCCCCTTTCCTAAAATCCCAGCACTTTTGAGTGGAGGATCAGAAGTTCAAGGTCATCTTTGGTTGAATAATGAGTTCAAGACCACCCTGGGATTAAAGACTGTATTTGTTTAAATGGGTCTTACTATACTGGGCTAGGAACTGGAGCAAGAATTTTTCTTTTAAAAAATAAGCTTGCACAGAGAAACCTTGAACTCAGAGCAATCCTCCTACCTCCCAAGTGCTAGGATTACAGGCACCAGCCACCATGCCTAGCTAAGTCTGGGACCTAATGACATTGCTTCCTTGAATTAGCTGACCTGTTTTGCAGCTTTTTCACCTCTAGTTTAATGAACCAAAGCAGTTGCTGTTACCTAAGTATTCTCTCTACTTGGTCCTGTCATCGCTATTTCCTTGTTAGAAACCTTTACTCAGTGCATCCATTCTATCTCTGGAGGCCCAGTTTATTCCACAAAACCCTCACATTCATCTATTCAGGCAAGAATTTATTCAGTGCAGAGAACTGTTCTAGGTGCTTAGGATCTGCAAAACAAAGCTCGTGTTCTCAAAACATGGTAGTGGTGCAGAGAAAAACACTGTCTGGAATATGACATTTCATACATATCCTATTTTAAGTACAGTTCAAGAGGTGGAAGTTTTTTAAAAAGTATTTTGTGTGTGTGTATTCTCTGCATGTATACAAGTGCAGCCTTCTCATGCAGTGCCTATGGAGGTCAGAAGAGGGTGTTGGATCCCCTGGAACTGGAGTTACAGATGGTTGGTAGCTGTAAGGTGAGTGCTGGGAATGAGAAGCCAGTGTTCTTAACCGCTGAGCCATCTCTCCAGCCCCAGCTGGAAGTATCTTATTCAAATCTTTCAAACAGTACCTTAGACTGGAAATTTTTACAAAAATATATTTTACTTTTTATGTGTATGAGTGTATTGCCTGCATGTAGGTAAGCGCACCGGTGTTCTGCAATGCCCGCGGAGAACACAAGAGGCCATTGGACCCTCTGGAACTGGAGTTATGGACAGTTGTTAGCTGCCATGTGGGTGCTGGGATTCGAACCCAGGTCTTCTGCAAGAACCACCAGTGTTCTTAACTGCTGAGCCATCTCTCCAGCCCCTGGAATTTTTTTTTAATTTATAGGGGGCTGGTTTGGGAAATGTTAAATTGTTAAAGAGCAGTAGGAACTATTTAAATATAAATTGGGGCTGGCAAGATGGCTCGGTGGTTAAAGTGCTTGCTGCACAAGCTTGACAACCCGAAATTTGATCCCAGAACCCATGGTAGGAGAGAAACAACTCCTAAAAGTTGTCCTCTGATCTCCACATGCATGTACCTGCATAACACAGTATAAAAAAATATGTGAATATGCACATATATGAAAAACAAGTCCTTTGTGCCTGTGTACCACTCTGTTGAAATGAATGAAGGCCGAAAAAGAAGACAGTACCTATACTTTCAAAAGTATAAGATTTTTCTTTTTTTGGCCAAATATGCCAATTTCTTTGCTGGTCTGGGTGTTAAAATAGCAGGCCCTTAGTTGGAGTCCAGAGTCCAGACAGTGACTATGCTAATTCCCCAGCCCTAGTTACACAAACATAAAATAGGGTAAAGGGTACAATGATACACACATGAACAGTATCATCATAAGACCCATTATTTTGTGCACTAAAAAAAAAAAAAAATAGAGCAAATAGTGCCTACTGCATTATACAATGAGAAGTTTCTGGTATGTAGTAAAGACTTAATGCTAGCTATGTGGTATTAGCTGTTATGTTACTTAGGGTGAGGAAATGCTTGGTCTATGGATACTTCTATGAGGATACAGGTACTTCAAGGAGCTTTTCAAAGAAAAGCAAGTAGTTTGGGACAGATTTTGAGAAAAACAATTTACAATTTAATAACTGAGAAAAAGAAAAAATGAGCTTTAAGAGCTACAGAATCTAGAAAAAGAGCTAAACTTTCCTCTGAACAGATTTATTGATCACAATCAAGTTCTATATAAACACTTGTAATCCCAGCACCCACGAGTATGAGGCAGGAAGACCACAAATTTGAGGTCAGCCTGGGTTGTATAGTTCTAGGCAATGCTGGGCTGCAAAGCAAGATGATCTCAAAAAGGCAAAATGACAAACAACTATGATCCTTTCTAGTATCTTAATAGCTGGTTATACTATAAATAGAAAAGTGCTCATTATACATTAAATGAATGGCCCAACTTTTAGAACTTCAATAATTTAACATTAATTAGCACAGGTAGGACTGACTCCCTATGACAGGCTGCTAGAGAACTGACATGAGATGTCAAGAGGCCATCTTGTGCACTGCCACTGTGATGCCATCATGTTTCTGGATCATAATGTTCCTGAAAGGCAGAAAGGAAAACAGTTGGTAAACTCTTTTTAAAAAATTTGTTTTTATTAGATTTTGTATTTCATTACACAGAATATCTCAAACAATCCAAATCATCTTTATAGCCCTATCCCCACCAGCACCCTGCCATAGCCACCCAACTGGAACCCATATACTTTCTCCTGGGTGTTAAGGCCTATCGTGTTAAGTCAGTGTCCCCAGACATTCCCCAGTGCAAGTCCATTCACTTGCAGTTTAGTCAGATCTCTCTCATCTCTCTATCCAAACAGCTATCATTTTCTTTCCTTTTTTTAAAATTTTTAAACAGAGCATAGGGTAGGGGCTTATTTACAGAGGAGTGGGCATCCCCCCACTTACGGCTGCACTGGAAAGTCTACACTCAAATATAGATCCTGTGACTTCCCAACAGCCATAGAAAATGGTGAGAGAGGTGCCTCCTGGCATTCTTGGCTTATATATCCTTAGCCTCTCCCCCACATGCAGCTAAGGTGGACTGACTGGGTAGGAGGGGTAACTGACTCCCTGCTTGACTCCTTGATGAGTGTAGGAAGGTGTGACTATAGCTTGCCGACATAATGGTTGGAGTACACTTCTAGTTAACACTCCACCCCTTCCTCTGGCTCTTACATTCTTTCTGTCAACCTCTTCTGCAAAAGTCTCTGAGCCTTGGAGGGGTAGTAGGTGTGGAGTGATCTTCCTCCAATTGTGGGATTGAGGCAAGGCACCAGGTCAGTAAACTCTGAATACATGGAACTGAAGTGTAAGATTAAAGACATTTGGTTTAAGGTACAAAACAGGTGGCACATGCCTTTAATCCCAGCACTTGAGAGGCAGAGGCAGACAGCTCTTTGGAAGGTCAAGGCCAGCCTGGTCTACACAGTGCCATGCCAGCTGGGGCTATAGGGGGACCCTGTCTCAAAACGACACCCCCCCAAACAAACAAAAACCCAGTAACATTTCTATATATAAAACCATCAATGAGCAGTCCCTGCTCTCTGCTTCTTGGTCAGCTCAGATGTGAGGAGTGCCAGCTGCAAACAAGCTCCTTCCACCATGACCTCTGCCATGCTTTCCTATCCATAAAGGGTACTACCCTCTGAAACCATGAGATAAAATAAATCCTCCTTCCCATAAGAAAAATAAAAAGCACCCATGAACATGAACATTTGAGAAATATGGGCAAGTCTAATTATCAAATATAAACACGAAATCAATCCCTAATCCTAATCACACTGTTATTATTTGTTCCTGGGTTTATTTTGGCAGTGTTGGAGTTAGAATCCATGGCCTTGCGTATACTACTGTTGAACTATATCCCTGGAGTCTGTTCTGGTTTTTAGACTAAAAAATTTTATTATGTGTTTGCTATATGTGTACAAGTGCCCGAGGCAGCCAGAAGAGGACACATCCACTTGGAACCTGGAGTTAACAGGCAGCTGTGAGCCACCTGATGTGGGTGCTTGGGACCCAAACTCAGGGCCTCTGGAAGACGGTACATGCTCTTAACTGCTGCGCCATCTTTCCAGCCCCTAATTATTATTAAATTATTTATTTTTATATGTATTTGTGTACCACTGTATGCATGTGGAGGCCAGAGGACACTTGTGGAAGTTGGTCCTCTTCATTGCTCATATGGGTCCCAGAGATCAAGCTCAGGTTGTCAGGCTTGCTGGCATGTGCTTGACCTGCTGAACCATCTTGCTGGCTCCTGCTTCTAATAAAAAAAAAGTAAATGTTTTATTATTTATATTTTATGTGTATAAGCGTATTGCCTGCATGTAAGTGCACTTGTGTCATGCAATGTCCACAGAGGTGAGAAAAGGGTGTTGGATCCCCTAGAACCAGTTATGGATGGTTGTTAGCTGCCATGTGGGTGCTGGGAATTGAACCTGGGTCCTCTGCAAGAGCAGCTAGTCCTATTCACAGTGAAAGATTTATCGTCCTCTTTTTTTTTTTTTTTTTTTTTTTTTTTTAAAAAAAAAAAAAAAAAAAAAAAAAAGATTTTATGTGTATGAGTGTTTTGCCTGCAAGTATATCAGAACACTGTGTTCTGATGCCCGAGGGAACCAGAAGAGGGTGTTGGATCTCCTGGTACTGCAGGCTGTTAACCTGATGGCTGTTAACCACTATGTGGGTGCCGGGAACTGAACCTGAGTCTTGTGCTAGAGCAGTTAAGTGCTGAGCCATCTCAAGACCCCTCCTGGATCTAGTTTTAATCTGCATATATAGTATACACATATTCATACCAATATCCTTTTCTTCCCCACCCCCAAAGTTGATCAGTGTGCATAGTTTTTAAAGTTTATATTATTCATTATATTATTCATTTGTTTATTTCTATGTCTGTGTATGGGTGCATGCACTTATGTATGTGCTCAGAAGTCAGGAAGAGGGCACTGAGTATCCTCTATCATTCTCTACCTATTCCTTTGAGGCAGGGTTCCATCCCTGAACATGGGGCTCTCATTGTCTCTGCTTGACTGCAAGCCAGAACGCCCCAGCAATCCTCCTGGTATCTGCCTCCCTTGGAGCTGAGGTTGGAGGTATTTGTGGGGATGCTGAGCTTATTTCATCGGTGCTGGGATCCAAAGCTGGGTGGTCCTCATGATTGTGAGACAAGCACTCTTAACCACTGAGCCATCTCTTTAGCCCCCGTAGTTTTATATTCTGACTTTTTACACTGTGTATTTTTATAAAGTCCTTTACTTTGGAATATCTTTAACATTTCTATTATTTATTTTAGAATCTTCCATTCTTCAACTAATTATCTTTTGTATTCATTTCTTTTTCTTGGCAGACTCACAATTGATGACAATTACTCTTCATTTTAAAGTGAATACCTGTCATATGGCTTGAAAGCACATTAGCTTTAGAAGTAATCTACTTGGTCCTTTGGTATACTGACTAAGAATCACTGATGAACACAGGACAGAGCCCAATCAAAATCCCTGGGGATTTTTCTGAACAAAAGAAAAGGATGTGCACTAATAGGTACTCACCCATTATCTGATTCTAAACACACCACAGGAATATCAGTGGGGTCAGAAGTTAGCTTAGCTGCTTGCTGGGCTAGAACAGATATTACTCCAGCATGCTCATCCGAGAGGGTACCACGACCTAGAAAATAGAGATAAAATTATTATCTAATTGTCTAAATGGATACTGAGCTATAGTAGTATCTCCCTCTGAATTACACACAAAAAAGCTCAGCTCACGGTTTTTTAGGTTAGGGACTGACATGAAATGCCCTTCCTCTCCCTCAGCTGATAACATCATTGAGAAAGCCTGGCAAGAGTTCTTAAATCAGTGAAGTCATATGACATGTGGTTTCAAAGCCATTCCCATCACCATCTCTAAACACCTTCTCAAGCATATAAGGAAGCTGTCATTCAACTCAATCTGGTAGCCATAAGTTTATTTTATAAGAACCTTGCTGAAACCAGCAAGAAATTCAGAGGTGAGAGTGACAAAAAGCAGTCAAATGAGGATAAGGGAGTTGTTGAAACTAACTAATTCCTTATGGGGAACCTGCTTTTCTTCTTACTGAACTTAACCCCAAAGAACAGAAAAGTCTTAACTCAGGAGTCCAGCTGTAAGATCACCTTGATAGCACATGTGAATATTCTGTGATCAATTACTTCTGCTAACATAACCTAGCTGGGATGTTTTCAAATGTCCACAGAATTCTTTTACCATTGCTTTAGCCTGTATTTATGAATGAAAATTTAGGTTCTAGGTACAAAAAATAATACTAAGTTTACAATAGAGTCCTATAAAGGTAATGCAGGCATACTTACATCTGAAACTAGTAGCAGATAGCAGACAACTATGGCAGAACATCAGATTCACTCTTTTATTCCCTATAAAAACAAGCACTGGCCAGACAGTGCAGTCTGAAGGTCTGTTGTAAACAGTAACTGCAGACCTTGAAGGTTTTACCCAGCCAGTGTTAAGATTTTTCACACACGAGTTTCTATCTTCCCATTAGTGAGGCTGGCAAATGCTTAAAAACAAAAAAACAAAAACCAAACCAAACCAAAATACTATTTTTTCCTCCGAATGACTTGTTTGTGTGTAAAACATAACTAAGCTAATATTTTGTCAGTTACCCTTCAGCAAAAATTCAGAGCTGTAAAAAAAAATGGCTGCATTATGAGTATTCCTGGGTTTACTAGTTCTGATATTAGTTAACTTTAGCTATTTATCTTTCTGGACTTATTTTCTTATCTATAATTGCTACAACTTATTGAGCTTAGTGTTTTATAACACTGTGATTTAAAAAGCCTTGGAGTCAGGTCAAAAAAATTCTACCTCAACCACTTATTAGCTGTATGACCTAGGGCAAATTACTTAGCTGTGTGTCTCAATGTTTTACCACAATGGGTTGTGTTGAGGAATGTTTGTACAGTGTAAAGCACTTATAATGGTTCTTGACACACATGAGCCCAATACATGAAACTCCTCCTTTATTACCATCATTAAACAACAACCCAGTGAAGAAAGTGAGGACACCAAAGGTTCTTTTTGGTCTGAGCTCACACTACTAGTAAACAAGAGAATGGGGTTGAACTTAGGTGTGTTGAACTCTCAAACCCTTGTTTTATTGCCACTAACGTACTAGTAAAAGTGGTTGTACTTCAACAAACAGCACCACCCACTTTTTAGGATTATTGTGATAACTAAGGAAATAAATGTATGTAATAGCCTAGACAGTCCCTGTACATCTAATGCATTCAGTAGCAGTTGTCCTTATCTGTGCCCATTTCTAGACCACTTTACAATTATTCAAATACCATTTTAGTAGGGACAACTGTTTTCTGCTAGAATGGGACAGAACATTTCTACCTTAAAAAAATAAAGATTTCAATTTTATTTTCAAATAGTAGCAAAACTGACTCCTAGTCAACCTTAAAGGGGGGCTGGTATGAGATACTTACAACCCAGATTAAGTCCTTGTGAATCTGTGCACAAGACTCCAACAATAGAAGGATTCTTCATTCTAATTTCAGGAACACAAGAGAGATATGAGGGCATATTTAAATTATTATTGCATAAATAAGCTTACTATGCGCCAAAGATCAAGTGATTCAAACCAACCTTTTTAAAAATTATCACCCGCCCAAGAGAAAAACGTAAGTCCGTTAAATAAGCCATATTCTCTCTAACAAGAGATAAGATTGTGCCCCGTATCAGTGAGCCTCAGAGAGCCACAAACGCTGCAGTACGTTGGGTTTTGTTAGGCTTGGTGTCAATGCTTGCTTCGGTATAACTACTCACTTAAAACAACTGTTGAAAAACTAAGGACTAGGAAGCTGCAGGGCTCCGCTGAGGGACGTGACTCCTTGTAAGCCACTTCATACTTTCCCACTTTGAATTTTATGAAGAGAGTCGAAAACCTTTATTTCCTAAGCGACAAGTAACTGACACACACGGGAAAGTACCAGTTTGTGTTCACTCCGCGGGGCTTGACCCTGCACACCCGGTACACCCTGCCCCAGAGTATCCCCAACTCCACCTCCGCGGAACCGACCGCACTTGGGCATCTCTGGCGGGGCCTGGGAGACACTCGCTCCGGAAGGATGCGTGCGGAGCCGGGCGACTCTTAAATTCCCAGCCCCAGCGTCTACAGAGCTCATCCCCCCTCCCCCCTCGCCGCCCTCGCGGACATCGCAGTTCCGGCCTGCCGAAGGTCCCCGCCTGACTCACGTGTCCTCCAAGTGCTGCTCCAAGGTCGTCTCCATCCTGCCCGAAGTCCGCCCGGCCCCAGGATCCCGCTGCTTCGGATTTCCTTTTCCAGCGTAAGCCTCGGTCACGTGACGCGAACGGGGCACGCACCCCAACGGCGGCTGTAGAGGAACTAAATTCAGCGCCGCGGCGTCTGTCTCCTCCCCCGGCCGGGCTGGGTTGGAGGTGTCTCTGCTGTAGCACAGTGACAGGCCGGTTGGACTGTCGGACTCCTCTGGGGATCAGGATTACTGTCCTTGTAAAAAGTCTGCAGTCCGGCCTCTAGGCCTGGATTCCCGGCCTGGCACTTGGTCTCGGTCATTTTTAACCTTTGGATTTTGGTTCAGACGACTCCAAGTACAGTAACCGGGCAGGTCGAGCAGGGTCTCGCGCAGTAGGACAAGAATTCCAGGAGAGACCCAGGACCGCCAGGAAGGGAGCACATGGGACTAAAGGAAGATGGCACAAGCCCGAAATCCCAAACTGGGAAAGCTAATCTTAACAAAGGCATTGGTACCTTTCTTTGCCCAGGCTGATCTCGAATTCTTGATCCTGGGATTTATAGCCCTGTGCCCCTACACTTAGTTTGCACTGGTACTTCTTGTAACAAGGGCTTATTAAGTTTTGGGGGAAGAAAGTCCGTTTAAGTCGTAGGTAGTGATGAAGACTAGCTGGTCTGAAACTAGCTTTGTAGGCCAATCTGGCCTTGAACTCACAGAGATTTGTCTGCCTCTGCCTCCCAAGTGCTGTGATTAAAGGCGTGGGCCACCACACCTGGCCTGGCAGGTCTGGTGGAAATACTTAAAAATAACTTGAGGTTTTAAATTTTCTTTCCTTCCTTCCTTCCTTCCTTCCTTCCTTCCTTCCTTCCTTCCTTCCTTCCTTCCGTTCTTTCTTTTCTTTTTCTATTTTTTATTTTTAGAAAGTCTCATGTGGCCCTCACTGCGTTCAAATTTGCACTGTAACTGAGGCTGCCCTTAAACTATTGATATTCCTGCCTACACCTCCCCAAATGGCTGGGATAACAAGTGTGTGCCTTTAATTAAAAAAAAAAAATTACAGAAACCATCCAGAACCCTACTGTCCAGAGATGATAGTTAATCTTTTGGAGAGTAACCTTTTCAAATGACTGTGTTTGCAAATATATATTTCCACTGTTTTTCCTTAAGCAAAATTGGCATATATTCTGGATATACAATTTTATAGATGGACCTCTTCACAGAATTTATTATACATTATCTTGCAGTATTTGCAAAACATTGCACACTTGGTTAATCGATTTCACTAACCCTATATTAATGTCCAGTTAAGTCTCTCTCTCTCTCTCTCTCTCTCTCTCTCTCTCTCTCTCTCTCTCTCCCTCTCCCCCTCTCTCTCTCTTTCTCCATTTCCCTCTTGTAGTGCTAGCTGAATATCCTTATAGTCAGATTTGTGTAGTTTAAAACCTTCCTTTTGTTATTAGAAATGGAACTATCCAGTCAAAAGATACGGTAATTTTATAGACTTTAGTATATTAGTATATACTTATAAATCACCCCTCAGAGAAGTGGTGCTGGTTTACACTCAGATTGTATTTGATGAAAATGAGGATGCACCCATAGGTTCTCCCACTCTCCACTTGTCTCTACCCATTCCTGTGCACCTCTCCTTGCACTCAGTTTCCTCCAGCACCCTGACCTCCACTCAGTGTGTTTCCTGCCTCAGACTCCTGAATGCTGGAATTTCAGGTCTGAGCCACCATGCTTGGTTATACTTCCAGAATTTGTGTGTGTGTTTGTACACATGTATGTGTGGGTGCACATGTGTGTGCAGGTATGCTTGCATGTGTGTGCACATGCAGGAGGAGGCCAGAGGTCAATGTCAAATCTTGTTCCGCAGGTGCCATTAACCTTATTTTTCAAGTCAGGGTCTTATCACTGGCCTAGAACTCTGATTATGCTTGGCTGTCTGGCAGGCCTAGCCCCAAGGACTTCCTATCTCCACCTGTCTCTGCTTCCCAAGTATTGGGATTACAAGTGTGTTCATGGGTTTTGGGAATTAAACTCAGGTCTTCATGTTTGCAAGGCAAGCAGTTTTAGAGCTAAGCCACTTCCCATGCTTCCAGAATGTTAACTTTCTTTAAATTCCTATTCAAATGGTATAATCCAGGGTTTGGGATCACTTGCTCTGGAAAAATTATGTTAATTTATAAGGTATACAGATTAGAAAAGCCGTTTAGCTGCACATTGTGATTTATACCTCTAATCTTAGCACTTGGGAGGCTGAGGCAGGAGAATTGTGAATTTCAGGCCAACCTTGGATACATACTAAGACCCTGTGTTTAGAAAATATAAGTATGAACTTTTTGAAGCAAAGTTTGTTGTGCCAATTGTCTGTGAGGGAGCCTGCTCTTTGCCAACACCAAGGCTGAAGAAATTTAATATCAGTTCTGCCCCCTTGTGGTCTTATGTGGTAAAACTTTACTGGGTTGAGACGCCTTAGCTCTGCTTTTCTGTTTGTTGTGTTGTGTTTTGTGGTGCTGGGGAACCAACCCTGGACCATGCATGTGCTATACAAGTACTCTACCACTGAGCTAAACTCTCTTCCCAGCTCTGGTTTTCTAAGCCTCAACGTCACTGTCCAAACAAATATAATATGAGCCACATTTGCAGTTTTAAATAGCCTGGTAGCCAGCCACATTAAGAAGGTAAAACATATGAAATTAATTTCAATACATCTTTGTTTATCCCAAAAGTCATTTCAACATGTAATTGATGAAAAAGTTATATTTATTTTTCTTCCTTACTGTCTTTAAATAGGAAATATATTTTGCACTTGTAGCACATTTCAGTTTAGACTAGCCACATTTCAAGTGCTCAGTAGCCATGAGTTAACACTGACTACAGTATTGACCAATATATATATCTCCAGGGTGTCTCAAAGGCAGATCAATGACTCAGAGTCTCTGAATAGCTACTGATTGAGCAGCTTTTTAAGCTGTTAGGTAGGCATTTTCCAGGAAAAGAAGAAAACGAGGAGGGTAGGGTTTGGCTCCTAGTGTCTTGCCACTGGACAGTGAGATAACACCTGAGATTAGGGTGTTATCTTTCTTGTTTTTGTTTCTCTCTTGCCCCTGGTCAGGTTGATAGAACAGAATAGCTGTGGAAACCAGACTAGGTGCTGGGAGTTGGTGTGATGATTTTAGGAGGTGTCTGATCTTGGATTGTTTTCTACTTTTTTTTTTGAAAAGGATTTTATATAAAGAGCCATTAGGTCCTTAATTTCACCTTTTTTGTTCTCTTCTTTTTCCCTTCCATAAATAAACTCTTGGAAATGAAATTCCCAGGAGGGCACAGCAGGGAATGCCCAAGCCCACATATTATGGCTGGGAGTAGGAGAGGAGGCACAGGGTTGGAATCCCAGATCTTGTATGCCATCTCAGTGCTGTTCCCTCTGCCTTGACCCCTGCAGAGTCCTCCTAGGAGGCTTACTTAAAGATTTGACTCTCATGGTGGTACATCACTTGTGATCCCAGGACTCTGAGGATTTTCATGAATTTGAGGCCTACCTGTAATGCATGGTAAATCTGAGGAAAGAAAGGAAGAGCTCCTCTAATGATGGGTCAGGCTGTCCTCTGGGTGCAGAAGGCTCTGCTACCCCAGGGCTTCCCACCATTCAAGTGCTTAGGGTCATAGGCCTTTGGTGGAATGAGTCCTTATGAACCACCAGGGGGCATCAAGGCCACAGAAAATTTTGTATAATGAAGGGTCTAAGGTGGGGGGCCAGTTCGTAAGCCTCCTGAGTTGGTAGAGAATGGAGAGGAGAGCTTCATAGGAGTACTTTGGAATCAGAGAGATATAGGTTTGAATCCTTGCCAAGCCACTGGCTGCCGTGTAACATCTGAGCCTCTGGGGGTGCATCTGGTATGGGAGTACTATCAGCTGCCTCCTCAGGGTGTGTGTGTAGGGAGTACTTTATGTAACAGGGGCTGATGCATTGTGGGAGTCACTCTGAATAAGGAAATCCCTTGCTTCTTTAAGTTGATTTTAGTCCAGATGAGGATGCACATGAAAAAGTAACAACCAAATGATAGCTATAAACATCAAGCAGTTTTGTGTCCATGAGAGAGGATGAACTGACATAGCTTCTCTATATAAAGCTGTGTTAATAAGATAGCTAAATCGATTTTATTGTTTTATTAGAGTTTCTATTTAAAGTTATACATTTTATATAAAAATTATACAATGAGAAAAAAATCACCTAGAACTCCAGTCCTAGCTCTAATGGCGTTAATGTGAAGGAATGAAATAGAATAGGCTAGGAGAATAGCCAGGTGGAGAGGGAGAAGGCATGTCACAGGAAACCCCAAAGTCTTGCCAGCTTAAGCATCTCACTCCAAGCTACAACACAGGGCCCTGGTGGGATCAAGGAAAGCTGGGATCAGTGATGTCCTACCTTATAGCAGTGGACTCCACTGAGATATGAGACTATATATAAAACTAGACTCCTGCACATAGTTTTAATGCCACTAGTGGTTCATATGCAGGGGTTGACAGCTATGTGCCAAGCGACTCACCTTAATCCCCACATCCTTTTCTGTAGTAGTCAATATTACTATTCCCTTTTACAGTTGAAAACCCAAAACTCAGAAGACTAGTATATGAGCTGGGTCGGTGGTACACACCTGTAATCCCAGAACTCGGGAGGCAGAGACTACAAGTTTGAACCAATCAATTCTACATAGAGAATTCCAGGCCAGCCAGGGCTACATAGAGAGACATGTCTTATAAACAAAAAGCTCAACAAGCTCAAGATCACCCTGCTTGAAAGTGATGGAGCCAGACCATTCCCTCTCTCTACCCCTTCATGGCAAATACAGTCCTGGAACTCAGGGGCAGAGGTGGTGGAAGCCCAGTACACCTCTCTTATTCTACAAGGTTCAGAGAGGGGAAGTATCTGATTTACAACTTAAATGCCACTTAAACCTGTAATTCTAGTATTCCACTCCTGTCAAGCCCCCATATGCTGTCTCTCAGCTGTTGTTAAACCTGCTTCAGAGAGACTCATGGTTACTAACCCTTAATACCTCAGAATGTGGCCTTGTTTGGAGACAGAGCCTTGACAGAGGAATCAAATTAAAATGAAGATGTTAGGGTAGATCTTATCCTAGTATGATTGACATTCTTATTTAAAGGGTAAATTTGGACTCAGGTTTGTACAGAGAACAGACAATAGAGACATGGGATGCGGATGACTGCCTGTAAGCTAGGGAGGGAGTCCTGAGCAGAGTTCTTCCTCATAGCCCTCAGAAAGAAACTATCCTGCCCAAACCTTGATTTGGAGCGTCTACCCTCTAGACCTGTGGGTAAGCCAGCCATTCAGCATGTGGTTTATTATTAGGAAAGCCTTGGGAAACCAGCACCTCATTTATCCAGAAAGTTGATGAGCTGAAGATATTACAGATACTTGGAAACCTTTGGTAACAGAAGGACTAGTTGGAGAGGTTACCCTCCCACAGGCAAAAAGAGAGAGCCTGTGAATTTTCCAGCTTGCTCCTGGCCTTGCTCTTTGGCTAAGATATTTTTCTTCTATTGGACACTGGCCAACAGTGGTGACAGGACCCATTTGACTTGGGCTTTATATTTATTTTCTTAAAAAATATTTTATTTATTATTTTTTATTTTATATACATGTGTATTGCCTGCATGTGCAAGTGCACTCATGTCATGCAGTGTCCATGAAGGGTATCAGATCCCCTGAACTTGAGTTACAGATGGTTGTTAGCTACCATGTAGGTGCCAGGAATTGAACCCAGATCCTCTGCAAGAGCAGCCAGTGCTCTTAACCACTGAGCCATTTCTCCAGCCCCCTAAATCTTTTTTTTGAAAAATTTTTATGTGCATGTTTGATATGGTTTATATGCATGTGGGTGCATGTGCATGTATATATGCATGTGTGTGGGCGTCATCCTCAGGAACACTGCCTGCCTCCTTTCAGACACAACTCTTGTTGGCCTGGAGCTTACCAATTAGGCTAGACCAGCTGGCTGGATAACTCCAGGAATCCTCCTGTCTGTCCCCTGATTACAAGTACGCACCACTATGCCTAGCAGTTTCTCATAGATCTGGGGATTAAACTCAGATCCTCAGGTTTTTAAGGCTTTCCCGACTGAACAATCTCCCCATCTCCTTGAAACGGTTTTATCTGAGCCTCAACTATGGAAGGTACTCAATAAATATATGCTGAGGAAATAGGTGGGAAAATAGCTCATAGCTACCTTTTTCCACGCTTCAAGTTGTAGAGTGGGTAGGGGAGGAGAGTATGGAGCTGTCAATGGATGAAAGGTAATTGGGTACTGTCTCCTAAAGTTTAGAGCTGAGTCCTGATTCTGGAAGACACAGTGAAATATATTTTAGATGAGTCAAGGTGGGCTAAAACCATTCCAGAACAGGAAGCTATTTTTCTATTGCTTTATTAATTTTGCTACCAAGAATAAATGAGATGCAGACTTCTGTATCCAATTCCTCATTAGATGCCCAATTCATGCAGCCATGACAAATGGGAATGGAGCCCTTATGAATAAAAGAAAGATCAACTCCAGCATAAAAAGATTGCAGGCCAGAGGAAAGACAATTTAGAGAAGCAGATAAAATACCCTCGCCTTAATTAGACTGCCTGCACCACACAGCAAATCAGACTTAATGTTAAAATTTATTGGCCTTGGAATTGGGTAAATGAAATAAGTGCTTGAAAATAAATGGAAAAGAAATTACCTGCATTAAATGTATTTTCAGTGCAGGCCTGTACACTGAGGCTTTTAGTCTAAGGCCAGCTTATAGCTGCTTTGGTTGTGCGTCACTGTGCCCAATATACACCTCTCTTGAGCCCCAGGTGGGTTTCAGAGACCCTGCTTGGGTAACAGTAGGTACTGTTGTCAACTAGCCTGTCATTGCCCTAGCAAAGTTCTTCGACAGGGAAATATCTGTGTCTCTATTTTGCCACTTACATGTTTAGTAAGGTACTATTGAGTCTTACCTCAGAGAAGAGGATGTTGTAGAGACAACTGACCTGCTCAGTTCTGCCCACTCTACCATGGAGCAAAGCAAGTTTTCCTTCAGACTGCCACAGTCTACCTTGGAACCCCATTTTGCTTAGAGAGGGTATCTGTGATCACAACATTGAATTATCCTCGTGTGAGACTTTGGACAAGTCTTCTGGTAACTTGATAGCTCAGATGTATTCTAATTGATTGAAGGTATGGCTAGTATTACCTTATAGTGCTGGGAGACACTGCAGACAGAAGCCCAGTACCAGGGACTTTACAAATTCAGAATATATGAAGGCTGTTTTTGCTGTTAGGATCTCAAGAAATCCTAGCTGAGGTGAATTGAATCAGGCCTGGTTGCAAGCAGTAAGAGCTGCCCCTGGCTTATGGACTAGGAAACTAAAATGACATTGGGTAACTCAGGCAATTTTGGAAGTGCCAGAGAGCTCAACCCGACCTCTCACAAAACTCCAAACCACATGAGGAAAATGTCCCTGCCCCTGGCCTGGCAGTGCTCACACCTGCCCACAGCACTGGAACCACTTCTGCAGCCAGAATGTAACTGAGCTCACACTCACTGCTGCTCCTGAACTAGACACCTCTGCTGCTGCCCTTGGCAGCAAAGTGGAATTTTCCCAGAGCCTCTGTGCTGAGGTCTTGTATAGGTAAACCTGAGCTTGGAGCCTGAATCACATGCCTGACTTCAGTTGCAAAGGAGGCTGTGAAGGAAATGTTCTGCCGTCTGTAACTGCCTTGAAAGTGCTCTGAAGATAGAGAAAGGAAAGCCATCCACATAGTTTTGGGCAGCAAGAAAGCATTTAAGTGTCATCCCAGAGAGATGTTTGCATTGATGAGGGGGCAACTCAGGTTGAATATCCATAGTCCTTCTGCTGCTTGGGAAGCAGCTTTATTGGGCAACATTGCATCCTAGCAAAGGGGATGGAGTACTTCCTGTCCTCTCTGTTAGGTGAGACCAGTCTTACAGGGAGTTCAACAGAGTTGGTCATTTTGAATTGGTGTGCACAGCAACAAGAGCCAACTTCTTTCTATGGCCTCATTATAGACCAGAAGTTGTATTACTTTATGGATCTCTTGCCCCTAGTTTACCAAATACTTACTTAGAGTGACAGCCTAGCAGACTAGGCTCCCTGCCTCAAGGAGCTTGTGTTCTATACAATAAATATGCTAGAGATTGGGCTTGGACAACAGCTTAGACATTAAAGTGCTTGCCTTGCAAGCACGAGGACCTGAGTTCAATCCCTAGAACAAAAATAATAGCCTCAAAACCAAACAATTTTATAAGGAAATGGATTTTTTAAAAATCCAGGAGTAAGGCCAGGTGTGGTGGCATTTTTAATCCCAGTGTTCAGGAGGCAGAGGCAGGTGGATCTCCATGAGTTTGAGGCCAGCCTGGTCTACAAAGGGAATTCTAGGCCAGATAGGGCTACATAGTGAAACCATGTCTCCAAAACAAAGTAACTCTCTCCTCTATAGAAACAAAACACCAAGATTGTCCTCTGACCTTCACATACACATATATACACACACATGAACCTGTACACATATGAACATAACTACCCATAGAAGCTAGAATGATGGAAACAAAATCTCACATTGAGTTTTGGGTAAGAGACACTTTCAGAAGTGAGACAAATGACAGGCTCTGTGTCTGTTCCTTCCCAGAACCTGGATTAGCACTGTTGTTTCTAGGCACCAGATTCTAAGGAGTGGACTCAGTGGGCAGACATCTGTCTCAATGCCTTTCCAGGACGGAGCTGCTTCTGGAAGGGAAAACAGGGATGGGAAAGAGGAGGGAAAGAGAAGAGGTACCCTTGGCAGAGACCTTTCTTGTGTCCTGTCTACCCCCTGTGACGCTTGTCATTAATCTTCTTTGTCAACTCGACAGGCTCTAGAATCAACCTAGGAGACGAACCTCTGGGCATGTATGTGAGGGATAGGTTCAACTGAGGTAAGAAGGGCCACCCTGAATGTGGGTGTCACCGTTCTGTAAGCTAGTGTCCCACGTGGGATAAAAGAGGAAAGGAACCCAGCACCCGCATTCATCTCTCTGCCTCTTGACTGAAGCTGGACATGACCTGATACTTGTGCTGCCAGCCTTCTCCTCCGTGGTGGACTGTGCCTTTAAACTGTGAGCCAGGACAAACCCTAAGTCACTTTTCTCAGGTATTTTGTCACAACAATGAGAAAAATAATATGCATTCCATGGTGCTTAGACAAACACCTGACTCACACCAGGTACTGAGTACACACCGCCTGGAATATTCTCTGACCCTTCAGCTCCCAAGGAACCAGGAGAAATATGACAGCCACGAGGGTCAACAACAGAGACAGCAGCAGATGCTTTTTCTTTTATTTTTGAGACAGGGTCCTGCTATATAGTCTTGGCTGGCCTGGTACTCGTTACATAACCCAGGTTGACCTTGACCTTTTGACAATCCTCCTGCTTCTGCCTCCTGAGTGCTGAGATTACAGACCTGTACCACTATACCCATCAAGGGAGATGCTCTTTCCAAAACACTCTACTGCTACAGATTTCCCCTCTCAGGCCTGTTTAAGTATTTGTAAATTTGGTATTTATTCTGAAACTTAAAGATGAAAAATCAGCATTTGCAAAGCACATTTGCTCCTGTGTATTATCTCATTTTAAGCCCACAGTCATTCCCTGAGAGATCTCCACATCCATGTTGTGGATGAACTGAGTACTCGAAGTTACCTGACTTATTAATGGCATAGAATATGAATGTGCCCATGGCCTTGGAACTCCTGGGCTAGGGACAACTATTCTCCTGGATGTTGATCCCAAGTGAATCAGCCTCTTAACTGTCTGATCAGCCACTTTAGATTTCATAGACCTATGAGTCAGTTCCATAAGTGGCCTTCTCTTTCCGCCTTCTGAGGAACCAGAAGATTTGAGCAGGTGCCTTCAGACACTGCACAGTAAATCAACTGCTGCATTAATTCTGGGCCATTGGCATTTTACTTCAGGAGAAAGCAAGAAGACTAATGTCTCATTGGTACTTTCAATTGCCAGAGGAGGTGAGACGAGCAGGATCCCATCTGCCAAGGTGGAGAAGGCTGATCCGAATTCTCTGGCCCTTTCTCCACTTGCTTGTCCCCAAGACGGGCATGTTACTTTTTCTGTCTTCCTTTCTTTTACTTCTTCCTTCCCTCCCTCTCCATCCTCCTCTCTATCCCTCCTTCTTTCCCATCCTTCCATCCTTCCATCCTTTTGTGTGGTTTTTTGAGATAGAGTTTCACTCTGTAGCCCAGGTCTGTCCTCCAACTTGTGACAGTCCTCTTGGGATTGTAGGCACAAGCCACAATGCTTGGCTGATAGTGTTCCATACACACACACACACACACACACACACACACAGAACGAGTGAGCAAGCGAGAGAGAGAACAGTATACTCCATGACCTTAAAGAAATAGCTAACATTTGTTGAGGATTGGTTATTGCCAGGCACTGTGCTATTTTTCAGGTATGTGCTTAATAAAGGACTGCTTGCTGAAAAATGTAGTGATTTTGTTCTGTGATCTCAGTGTGCATACACATCCAGAAGATTTACGATATTTATTTTTATGATATTAATGTATTTATTTTTGTGTGTGCATGTGCACACATGCATTCACAAGTACCATGACACACATGTGGAGGGCGGAAGACAGCTTGCAGGAGTTGGTTCTCTCCTTCCACCATGTGGGTCATGGGGATTGAACCCAGGTGGCCAAGCTTGGTGGCAAGCACCCTTTCCTGTTGAGCCATCTCACTGATCCTGATATGGGCTCTTCTTGAAGCTGTGTTTGTGTCTTTGCCTTCAATGAGCAGATCCTTCATAGCTTCTGGCACTTTGACTTTTTTAAAGATTTATTTATTTTTATCATGTTTACGAGTGCTTTGCTAGCATGCGTGTATTTTATGTATGTGCATCACACCATGGCAATTTGCTCTTGTTCCTCAAGATCGTGGTTAAGGAGCAGTGGGACATGCTGACTGGAGAGCGATAACCATCATTGATTCTTCTACCTTCCTTGTTCTTAATCACTTTAAATTTTGTCACAACATGTTCTCTTACTTGCCACATTCCCAGTGGCCTTTATTCTTAGGGGCTATGATGAGAAAACATGGTGGGATTAAATCAAGCAAGAGAGAAAGTGATGTGGTCAAGAGTGGGTATGCACAAGTATATGAGGATGCACAGACAGAACAGGGCAGACACCTTGACTACAAACTTCTTATAAGGAAAAGGGGAGCCCTCCAAAAGAGCAAGAGGAAGTGTGGTAGAGTATATATATATAAGTTAGCAACATATTCATCACCACCGTCAAGTATTAGGTACTGATCATAGCTATGGGGCCTGCTGGCCTTTTATATAGCAGACGGCATGGCGGGTTGTTTACACCAGCATCACCACAACATGTGTTAGGACATTAAGATGCCTATGATGTCACTGGGTGATAGGAATTTTTCAGCTTTGTTATAATCTCCAGGGGCTACCATCAACCATCAACATATTCTCTATCTGTCACACTTGCATCACAACAAACAGGTGAGCACTGCACTGTTGTAAAATGTTAAGATGACTGTGATGTCACTAGGTGATAGGAAATCTTCAGCTGAGTTATAATCTTGTGGGACCACCATATACGTCACCTGTCACAGACACAGGACAGTATTTACTCTAGAAGCCTTAAGTAGTAAAGTGTTATTTGTTCCGCTTCAAGACATGAGAAACAGACTTAAGGCTGCCTTGCCCAAAGTTACTCAGCTAAGGAAGGGTACAATCAGATACAGATGGAAGACCCCAAGCCTACCATCACGCCCACACAGGACATGCAAATGACTCATCTCCCAAAGTGGAGAGCGTTGTGCCTTCTCTCCATCCCACTTCCTTGTCCTTGGCAAGCTTTAGCCAGCTTCACTCAGTCCAAGGAGGCTGTACCCTTTCCCAGCTATAGAGGCTGGGCCCCATGTGAGGGGCTTGGTCAGAGGACAACTACTGAGGTTCCAGTAAGGGTGGGCAAACTGCATGGATGAGGGTCTCAGCAGCATGTAGGACTCAGTGAGTTGAGCCACCTCCTGGTTGCCTCTTTGAATGAATTTCCAGAGGAAGAGAAATGGGCCACCAATAGTGAGAAGCTGGACATCCAGCATGTCCAGCCACCAAGCATGTCCAGCCACAGTGGTCTCTGAGAACTTCAGCAGACGCTATGACCCTGGGTTAGAAAGTCTAAAGGACCACAACATTGTGAATTCAAAAAACCAAGAGGGATGTGCATACCCGAGCTTTTCAGAATACACAGTCTCAGTGTTAAATTCTGACCCTCTGTACCAGTCATGGGCACAAATGCCTTCAAGAGAAAAGAGCTTTGGATGGGGCCAAAGCCAAGGTCACCTCAGGGCTGCAGGTCTCATCCTGGTTTCCTAATTAATACCACTTTGGATCCGACAGTGATGGCTGCTCTGTCTCAGGCTTATTTGCTGCTTATCCTGTGATTGATGCTGGTAACATTTAGAGTCTGTCAGGAAATATTTCACAGATGCTTTGTGTGGTGGATGGAAACAGCCAGGAAAGTAACTCCCGAATGGGAGTTAAGGCCGAATGGGAGATGAAGGGAGTTGTGATGGAAAGGCCTAGGCCCTTTTAAACCTCTTGTAGAGTAGGGGAAATGGGCCATGGGAACTTGGGGCAGGGACTGGCTGGCCCAGCTAGAGCAGGGACCTTTCAGGAAGGGCTGTGAGAGAAACAACATGAGAGGGAACCAAGAAGCTCTTCTGAGCCTCCTAAAAAGATGTATCACATCTGTGTTGGCTTTTAGCTTCCACTGGGAAAAAACACATATGAAAGGAAGCAAAAAATAGTTTCCCTTGCATGCGTTATTATTTTAACAAAATAATAAAATACTTAATTACTGATTTACAGTAATGTTGGGAAATTGGATACCCACATGCAAACAATAAAGCTGGACCATTATAATACATGTAAATTGAACTCAAAGTGGATCAAAGATTAACATAAATATCTAAAGTATAAAAATCTTAGAAAAAATATAAGGTGAACACTTCATGACATTGAATTTCACAATGATTTCTTGAATAGACACCAAAGTACAAGCAACAAAAAAGAAAATAGCTAAGTTGAACTACATCACAATTAAGGACTTTTGGGGAGCTGAGGAGATGGCTCAGACGTTAAGAGCATGTACTGCTCTTATAGGGGACTGAGGACCTAAGTTTGATTCCTGTCAGGCAGCTCACAAGTACCTGTAACTCTAGCTCCAAGGGGGATCCAATGCATCTGGCTTCTGCATACAGAGACACATGCATACAACTAATTCCAAATAATAAAAAATTAATTAATTAAGAACTTTGGGGTTGGATAAATGGCTCAGCAGTTAAGAGTGTGCACTGCTTTTGTGCATAGGACCTAAGTTCCATTCCCAGCACCCATGTCAGGCAGCTCACAATTGCCTGTAACTCCAGTTCTAGAGTATCAGGTGCCCTCTTTTGGTCTGTGGGGGCACTGCACTCATGTGTACAAACACATTCATGCACATATACACATAATTAAAAAATTAAGAACTTTGGTACATCAAAGGGCACTATCAACAGAGTGCAAAGGCAACCCATGAATAGGAGAAAACATTTTCAAGTCATCCAGTAATAGGTAACTGTTCAGACTATATAAAGAACTCCCACAATTCAACAACAAAATAATCAATTCAAAAAAATGGACAGACAACTTGAAATTTTCTCCCCAAAGGCTATGCAAATGGACAACAAACATATGAACAGATGTCCAATGTCACTAATCACTAGGAAATGAAAATCAAAATCACAATCTCTAGACTCACTATAGTACTACAAAAAAATCTGAAAATAATAAGTGTTGGCAAGGATGTAGAGAAATTGTTGGTAGGGATGTAAAATGGTCTAAGCCACCATGAAAAACAATATGATAATTCCTCAAAAAATTAAGACTATTACTTAATGGTTTGGTAATTCCAATTCTGGGTATATATACAAGGGACTTGAAAAAAGTCTTGCACACACATTGTGGATACTCATGTACGTAAATAGCATCATTATATTCATAATAGTCAAGAGTCTATCAGTGGATGAATGAAAAAGCAAAAGCGATATATACATACGATGGAATGTATTTTAGCCAATAAAATGGAAGAAAATTCTGGCATATATTACAGTGTGGTAGAACATTGGGCTAAGTAGAATAATCCAAAAATAAAAAGACAAATACTATACAACTGTACTTAACATAAACTACACAGAATAGTCTGTAAGCCAGTTTCATAGGGACAGAATGTTGACTGGTGGTTCCAGGGACTGGTTGTGGGGAGGGAGGAATATTGGGGATTTATTGTTCATTGGGTAGAGATTCAGTTTTGCAAGATGAAAAAGTTCTGAGATGGATGGTTGGTGATGGTTGCACAGCAGTGTAAATACACTTCATGCTACTGAACTGTACACTGAAAAATGGTTAAGATGGGAATGTTTTATATTATGTGTATTTTATCACAATTAAAAATTTTACTTATTATTTTATGTATATGAATATATTGCCTGCGTATATGTAAGAGCATCACATGTATGCAATGCCTACAGAGGACAGAAGAGGGCGTTGGATCCCCCAGAACTGGAGTTATGGATAGTTGTTAGCCACCATGTGGGTGCTGGGATTCAAACCCTGGTCTTCTGCAATAGTAGCCAATGCATTTAATTGCTGAGCCA